GCATGGCCTGAAATTCCGCACCCGCATAGGCCGCAACAGGCGACGAGCTGCTCTCCCACGTGTGGCGCGGCCAGCCCTGCTAGATGCCCCCGTACAGGCATTCATGTTCCCTTGGAGGGTATCTGACTAGCGGCAGTACGGGGTATCAAGTAGGGTTGTAGCCTGTAGGTGCCGTCGGCCGTATCGCCAGCCTGCAGCACGAGTATGATACGTGCGGGTACATGCTTTAGTGCGCTGCAGGGCTTCGCTTTCCTGGCAAAACGGGTTATCAATCAGGCAATTTTACGGCATCTAGTGCTTCGTAGTCGCCGAGAGCCTGCCGATATGGGCGCCCAGGCCACCGGTGCCAGGCACTGCAGACACGCGAACTGGCAAGGACCAGTATCTCAGCGGCGGAAGACAGTGCCCTGAGTACCTGCCTATTGAATTGACCTCTGAAAGGCCCTAGGAGGAGCTGCTTCGCTATGTGGGAAACCCAGGGAAGGTGCAGCGTGCAACAGCAGGAACAACATGACGTGGGCGCATTCTTCGAGATGCAAGTGCTACTGTCAATGGGCAAACCGGGTTTATAATTTCGTTTCTCGTAGAGAGATATACTGGGGCACAGACAATTCATTCGAGCTGCTTGAATGCTTATACGAGTGATCACCTCTAAACCCTCGAGGTTCGGACATTCAGGCCTCCATGCGCATAAGACACCAAGGCTCGTCTCTAATTACTTGTAGGTGTTCGTGCCCCAAGTAAGCATGGGAACAGGCTGGCCGTTATAGGTACAGTATCTATCAAGTGAGTATTTTCTGACAGATGCTATCTAGCGAGTAGAAATGCACACCTCTCCCACCAGTCTTGTCAGCTGGGAGGGAACCAAGAACACTCGTACGTTGACTCTCGCTGAGTATCAGATGTCTCGAAACCGGGCCTCGTTTCGACAGAACGATCAATGGGGGGAGGGGTTGAACCTGGACACCCGCGGACACCAACGGGCTCTTGGCAAGCAGAAAAGAGAGACCTACGCCGTTCAAGTACCCTTGAAGCCATCCCGTGTACTCCTCATCGTGGACTATTACAAGTATATGGATCCAGCGTCTCCTGTCGTGTAACTGGTTTCACACCTCTTTCGTTTTGATCAGTTGTCACATTTCATCCTCGGCGCTGTTGCCTGGGTTTGAACCTTGAGCCCATCTGAGCGCGGCCGCTTTGACATGCCTATTGTCCCCTTGTGGGTACGGAGGTGGTGTTGCTGATACGCAATCACCATCTCGCCGCCAGACACCACGCGATGGACACCGTGCCTAGGTTGCGACAGTAATACGGAGTACTGTGCACCCTGCGAGTGCCAGGTTAACCCACAATCGATGCGACTTCACCACGGAGTAGTCCGAGCGGTTATGCTGCGCGTCGCACCGAGCGTACCATGATTCCGGGCTCGCAGCCAAAAGACTTCGGACAATCATCAACCCGTTTTGTTGTTCTCAAGTAGCGCTTCGCATGCCATCTCAAGCTACCTCTACTCCATGCTGACGGTGCTATATACCCGTACAAGTACTCCGTCAGAAAGCTCAGCTGGCTGGGAGTCTCGTGGCTACAGCTCAGAGCCTAAACCACACCTTCTATTCGGCGGCACACGATCTTGCTATTCTCGGTCTTCGGAAAAGAACTAGACGAAGGTTCTCGGATGAATCTTACTGCTATCTTTCGTGCTAGCTGTTTTTCTCCGCTCTTGCCATCCAGACCCCATGCTCTAGGCAGTTGCTCTAGCCTTTGGCTCCGTCTTGTCTCCGCCAAGCCGTCTCATCCAGATAGGTACCTATTCCACAGAAGTACATTTATGAGCATGCTCAGGTACGGCCTTGCGTCACCAAGCACTACAAGTAAATGTTGCAATCTTCCGGAGACTCCCGATCGCCTGCTTGCTAGGACTACGCCACGCGCTCTTTGGCTCATCTTTGTTGTACATTGCCGCAGAGCCGCCAGATATTGAAGCTGAGTGTTGGCCAGGGTCGTCTCCAGCGCTTTGCTCGGCTCACCAACACCCGGCACCCGGTACTCGCTCCCCAATCTGGCGCTTCGGGCACTACTCCATACTTTTGTTACACAGCATGCCGATATGCAGCAGGTCATGAAACTATGCCGCAGCCGCTCGATGCGGGGTTGTTTTCAACGGTCTATTAGTACTATGCCATCGTCTCCTTCGACAGACTGATTGTATTTATCAAAGCCTCAAGAACTCTAAATCTACATGCCATGTCTGGGAGGAAAAGAAGAGTAAAGAGCAGTTCTTTTTGCTATCCTGGTCATCGCTCCATTCATACGTATAGAGAGAAGAAGACAGGACGAGAAAGCGAAGAGGATAAAGTTCGACCACGTTTAGTTACGTGAACATCTGGAAGGCTGCTTTAGGTCCCGAGAGCCGAAGATTATATCGCTATCCGCTCTACTGTATTAAGAGCAACAGAGCACGGAAAATTGGGAGCTGGGGGTAGACGATGCTTGCAGGGACGAGAACAAGCACGGGGGTATTTTTACATTACTCGTATTACTGTACAGACGGCGGCTCACTCGGCTCCAACCCGAATGCTTGCTCCACAGCTTGAAGCAGCTCAAAGAATTCGTCACCCTTTCGGCGCCCTCCTCTGCGGATACAGCCATGCCATTGGCGCCCACGCGCGGTGCGGCATCGACTTGTAAAGACCAACCACCTCATGTACGAGCAGACACAAGCTTTAGGGCATGGCACTCCTTCTTCAGGACTGTTTAGACGGCAACTTGCAGGGCCTCCTATCCGCCTGCGTCATTCCTTGAGCAACAGCCCTGCCGTGCATCCTCGTCCATCTCTTGATGCTACTGTACTACGGCACTCTATCGCTCCCGTCAGGGTCCCGGCCGGCGGTTCGGGGGACAGCCTCGAATCGGCCAAGTTTTAGGCTCACCCACCACTGATTGGCCGCGGCCACTGAAATGCGAATGAGCGCGGTGGGTGGTGACACAGTAGCTTCAGACGCCACGCGCTTGATCGCTTGAGCCAAACAGAGGGCAAAACATGAGCCTAATTTCATGCGAGGATCCCGCATCCTCTGAGGGCGACTTCACCTAGTTAACACGGAGCCACACAGTACCAATTCATCCGTTTAACCAGGCGAGATGGTTTATCATTGTGGATTGTATTCTGGCTAGTGTACCAAGCAGCATGTACTAGCACTACTGCTAGCAGTACGGAAAACTGCTACTGCGAGTACCTATTCGCCCTGGCTCAAGCCTAGCACGGGGCTTTCTTGAGAGAGCACGTTGTGTCTTCCCAAGAGGGTACCTACAAGCATGTACTTCGACCACAACGGAAGAAACCGTCCTCTTTGCGGGGTTGATGCTACATCCAAGCACTAGGAGCATTCAGTAGCAATATTCGTCATGCAGACACGCTAAATGCAGAGAAGCACTCTCTGTGCCTATTTCGACGTTCCAGAACACGCGCGAGCAGCTCGCCTAAGTTCGACTAAGGTTTTCGGCTTCCACAGCCGCCGCAACGAATTCTTGACGTTGCTGAAGACAATCTGGTCAACTATAACAAGCGATCCAGACATATCGGATTTTCTGGGAGGGAATTTCGGGCCACGCGGCATGCAAGTGACTACATCTTCCGGCGAGCAAGCATACAAGTACAGTGGTGCAGCGAGCCCAAGTAAACACGTGTGGATATGCGGTGTGCCCCGTACTAGACACAGAGCAATACCCTTTTCCCCCAATAGCGAATCTTCAATGGAGATGGCAGCAGCAGCCAGTCGGCATCGAGGGAAAAAAAAATGGCTAAAAAGCTTACCATCCCCTGTCTACGGAGCGCTGGTGCACATCATGTCCCGAATTAGGCGGATTCGGCCCCGGAGGGAGCCACATGCCGTATGAAGCTTGGCAGGCCTGGCCGAATGCATGGCCAAATGCGCGTTGATACAGGCTTGTGCGGTCCGTAGATGGGACGACGCGCGCCGTATTGGTAGGTATCACCAACGTTGCGAGGTACCTAGTTTGTGTGGCTCGTTCATTTTCACCTCGCTTCTGTGCGCATGGAGTAGGGGCTACAGAATACTGTACCAGTGACCGCCAACATCATTATCTATGGGTGGGGTTGGCCGTCGGATCGGATTCGCCGTTTGTCAAACATCGCAAGACGCTGTGGTGGCTCCGTAGAATGTAGAATGGGAAGAATAGGTACAACAAACTTGGCTCTTCGTCTGCTGTATATACATGCAGCCACGGCTGAGGGCGATCCAGGCGTTTCATGGGTATGGGTATCTGGGCATCGGAGGACATCTGCCTCTCGATCGACTGATTTGGCTTGGTTGGCTATCCCAGAACTCTTTTGTCGGATGCGTTTGTGTGTGCGTGTGTCAATTTTCTTTACGCCGCAACACGCACAGCTGTCTTGCAAAGATGGATAGGACATGGTGAGGACTGCGTCGTATTTTGTTCTCGGGCTGAACTGATTCTCACTTCCAGCCCTCAACAGTCGAGTCATCGGAAATTAAGAGAAGAAGACGAGAAGCTGACGACCAAGAGCAATCCATGTGCGGCGGTGGTTCGCGGCGCGGCATGACATATGACCTGAGAGAGACCCGGTAGCAGGCCCGATTGATCACGACTGGGGTGGTGCCGTCCCTGGAGTCAATGCATTGCTCCAGTGGCCCAGCTGGCGCTCGAAACACATTAGCCTTGGCTGATCTCGACTGGTCAATTCCTACTTGTGCTAAAGGGTGGTGTGGCCTTACCAGCCGCCCCACGTCTGCCAATCCAGATATATTTCCGAATCTGATTTAATGGGCGGAGGGCCACGGCGGATGACGGAGGAGCACGCACTGGAATACTAGTAGGTCTTTGCCTGATACTTGATACTTGTACAAGCACATCGCTGCTGTAACCCGCTTGGGGCCGCGAGGCGATACTGCGACTAGTATACCTGCATCAAGTCGCCGCCTCCTTCACACCCCTCCTCCACGCTGCTCTTGCTTGCTTCACATACCAGACCCAGGGCTCTTCTCCCGCGGCATTGCTTGCATCTCGGCAGTCACAGCAGCGGCCGCCGTCTTAAATTCGCCAGCCAGCCACCTCGAGTCGTCTTCCTTGGTCGCGAGAGTCTTCGCCCATTGTCATCTCCGACGGCGCACCTTTTGGGCTTGGGCACCCAGCTTCTGCTTCTGCTCCTGCTCCTGCTGTTGCTGCTGTTGTGCTGTTTGTCCCAGTTGCTGAGCGCAGACCGCGTAATCGCCGCCGTGACCCAATTTGCACATGTCAGATGCCGGCTTGCGATCCTTGCGACAGCTTCACTGAACGGGAGGGCTGCCGTGGATTCTTCGAGCTGAGTATTTCATCAGCAGTGCCGCAACTGAACTTGGATATAGATTTTGCTTCTACATCGCAAGACAAGACAAGACGAGGTCGGAGCTGGCTGAGGCGCAGTGCAGATTTGCTCATACCCAAACGATAGTTGGCATCTTAGAGCAGCCTTTCTTCTTCTTTGGCTAGCCTTGTTTTCTTTGCTTTTGCCTTCTGCCCACTCTCCCGGTTCTCGTTTCTTTTTTCTCAGCCACCTCGCCCTCGAAACTCAGCGCCGCGGTAGAGCAGCGCCATTGGTTCTAGAAGACATCGACGGCTGGCGTAATACAGGCGCCTTCGAATACGGGACGCGGAGTTCCCTTCCGTTAGTGCCGAGAGCCAGATCGGTTGGGTCACTCAACTGCCTAACACAGCACCAAACTTAGTTTTGCATCGGTAATTCAACGACGGGCGTGTATATCCACGCTGCAGGCTGGTGTCCTGATATTTTTTGTTTTTGTTTTGTGTTTCTGGATTTGGGTTTGATCAACACAAACAACGAAACCATGGCAGAAACGTCGCACAATCCTTATCCGCGATCTCCCAATCCTTCGACCAGGTCATACGACTCGTCGTCTGTCTCATCTGCAACATCGCCCCGACCTCCATCGAGGTACCTTGGAAGCATGCTGAACGCAGCGGGAAGACCAAACCCGACACCACCTCAGCCCCTGGGTATCCCGACTTTGCCTCCCGTGAACCAGGGCTTTCCGCCTTATGCGCCTATGCCGCCAACGTCCATCATGGGCCGTGAATCGGTTGCTTCTACCGACTCTCTAGTAAGTAGTCAAGGCCTCGGGGGCTCTCAACTGTCGGGCGCTTCAGGCGTGCAAGGGCAAAAGAGGGCTTATCGTCAAAGACGGAAAGATCCCAGCTGCGACGCCTGTCGAGAGAGAAAAGTCAAGTGTGATGCGACTGAGACGACGAGTTGCTCTGAATGCTCCAGTCGAAATGTCAAATGCCAGTTCACCAAGGAAACAAATCGGAGAATGTCGTCTATTAAACAGGTGCAGGATCTGGAGAAACAGATCGAAAAGGTCCGGCGCGACAACAACAACCTCCGTCGGCTGCTGCAGGAGAGAGATGGCTCCATGGATATTGATGTCGAATCAAGAGAGCGATCATCTTCCCAGATGCCGCCTCCCATCGAGACTGAGAGCAGATCACGCAAGAGGCCTCAACCAGTCCCCGACCTTGCTCTGGCGAGAACGAACTTGCGAAGCTTCTCGAAAGGCGTTTGGAAACCTCCGGCGCAGCACCGCCTGCCAGCACCAGCTGTGTTTGACGCTCCTACGCCGGATTTGCCCTCCCGTCAGATTGCTGACCAGCTGCTAAACACGTATTATGGTTCGGCGCACACGATGTTTCCCATCATCCATTTACCTACGTTCAAATCCATGGTTGATGATTTGTACAGAGCAAGCCCACCCCGCATGCCACCGGGGTTCTTGTGTTTATTTTTCGCCGTTTTGGCGACTGGCAGCTTGTTTACAAGCGAATTGCCTGCGACTCCTGTTACCTTTTACCGACCTGCCGAGCTATTGGAATCCGCACGCAAAGCAATAGATCCTTGGTGCAATCATCACACCCTCGATGACGCCAGAGCTCTTATCCTCATAACAATCTGCCTCAACGAAATGAATCTGAAATCTGCGGCGTGGAACTGGCTGGGCAATGCTGTGCGTGTTGGTCAGGATCTAGGCCTGTATTTCGATTCGGAAACCTGGCCCGTGATTGAAGGAGAAATGCGACGTAGAACTTGGTGGGCGATTTACATTTTAGACAGGGTTTTGGCCACCGAGATGGGCCATCCGTTTCTTATTGATGATGCAGACTGCAGCGTGGATTTGCCAGCTGCTGTGGACGACCAATACATCCGAGATGACGGAATGAGAGTTCCCACCGGGGCCGAGCCACTTACTCATTCTCTTCTAGCTGTTATTCATGTTGTGCGGTCCTACACGTCCATCGTGAAAGCGACTGATACTCCCACAATACCGCTTGTACAACTTACCAATTTTGATGCGCATTTCAAGAAGTGCCTCAACACTTTCCCTCCAGCTTGCGATCCGGCGAGCACAGTGGCTTTGGCGCCTCACTTCTTGGCACCTCTTACTTATTTGTTCCACGCACGGCTGCTTCTCCACCGTCATAACCTGAATCCCAACTGCGATGTCGATACCCGCCTTGCCGCTATTGAAAGCTGTATGCACATTGCGATTGAGACTGCGTCACTGATTAACCGAACGGGCTCTCCTGCTGATGGAGCCACCGCTCTTCTAACATCTCACGTCTTTCGCTCTACTCTATTTTTGTTATTGACGGGATATCTGGACCATGCTATCACCTGCATTCGAGCTTTGGCGGCTATAGATGCCAGACGCGATATTACCACTGCCTGTGGGAGATACCTTTCGTTTTTCGCCTCTACTTTGAGTGTCAAGCGAGCCGAGTATTCGAGCCATATAGCAAGAACAACCTCACCCCATGCCTTTTCCTCTGCAAGATCTCCGGTTGATCCATCAACCCTTTTGGTTTCGCTGGCTAGAGACGAAGAGCTGATAGCATATGTCTCCGCCGACCTTCATGCTTCACCTTCAAGATCTTGGGTTTGGAACGAAGGGCACGATCGCGATTATCCGCCCCCCAAGACTGATAGCGTTCCATCTGGAGGGCTTGGACACGCCCTTTTTAGTTCAGTAATGAGAACTGGGCTGAGTGACGAAGAGCGCAGGGATTGGGGAGGATGGTCTCAGCTGGAAACGGCGGTTCGAGCATTAGGAACGACTGCTCATGCCATGAGCAACTGGGCAACTCTCCCGCCTCCTCAGGTGAAGAGAGAATCCCCAGCACCAAGCATGCCTGCTATGCAGCGGCTATCAGATGCCCCTCGATATACTTCAGAAGTGCCAAAGTATGGTAACGAACCATCGAGACCGACTGCCAGTCCAGCAGGCAGAGACAGACTAAGCATTGCGAACATCATATGATCACCACGAAGGCCGATAGGAATTTGGGAAATGATACACGAAACCTAAGACGACACGCCGTTCAGTTTTTTATTTTTCATTATCTGTATTTTTTTTCCACCATGTTTTTTCGCCATTATTTTGCGACTTTCACTTGGGTAAAAAGGGGAGAAACAGGGGAAATCACGACTCGTTTATTTTTTATTCTTTTTATTCTTCTCTTCTCTTTTCAACCTTGGAATTGTTCATGCCTATTGGATCTTGGAAAATTAAAAATAGTAGTCGCAGGGACGACATTTGATACCAATCTACTCTCAAGCATACCCAAGGATGTGGCGATTGCATTACCTTTTTTTTTACCCTTTTGCTGCACACGAATTTTGCAAGAGAAACTTTTTTTTTTATCCCCTTTGCTCTTTATATACACATATACCAATCCTGCTTTTCTTAATTATTGTTACATTGTCGGTCACGGACGCAAGAGTAGGAGATACCACGAGCGCTTGTTATATGTGCTTCACCCCCTTTTTCCAGCCTTCCTTTTCTTGCTTCCTTGTCTCTTACTTTAGGATGAAAGCGTGTAGTGCACTGGTCTTGTGTGTCATGAGGACTTCTTTTTCATCAATGCATATGATGTAATAGCCTGTATGATATCGACTGATACCTATTCGATTATTCGATAGCAAGATAATTTAACCCTTACTCACACTCTAACGCGTTTCTCGCCCCTTTCCGCGAATAATTATCACCGTCGATCGTCATCAAGATCATCTCCGATACGACGCTTTGTTCATTATCTATCTAAGTTTCTAAGCATACGGCGTATATAAAAAGAGCATACAAAGCCTCATTAAGATACATCGCGATTCAACGAGATCTCCCGTCAAGTTGCAACTGAGAAAATTTGTCATGCAGCATGTCTCTCATCACACCTCCATCGTCAACATAAATAGCTAGATCCATGGCCTTGAGCGCCCAGCGATGGCACGAGTCTGATTCTCCTCGGACATAGTATTCGATCCCATGATTAAACGTCGTAGCAACAAGCCATTCTATTTCGGCCGACGGCAGTTTATTTCCAATCTGTAAAAGAATTAGCAAAGGCTGTACTACTACCGGAGACATCTCCGTATGAAGAGAAGCGTACTTCGTTTGCCTCTCCAGCTATTTGCAAAGCTTGGTCAGTTAGCTGAAAAGCCGAAATATCGTCCGTTCCCAGAATAACTTGAAACATGCAACGAACATATTTCATAAGTTTCTCATAATCGAACTTTTTCAATTCAAAAATCTCATTGATGATCAGTTGCATAGTTGAAAACATTACTAAAGGCATGTGGAGTCAGCTTTTTCACCCAAGATGTGGCATGGAAGGCTTGAACCGCACGCTTACCTTTACCCGGTGCTTTGCTTCTCAGTAAACAGTCTCCCATTGCTTTATAAGTGACTTCATCTTGACAAATTTTTGCTTTTCGAACGGTCTCGTTCAAGCTATCCCAGTCCTTTAACGCAGTGGCCGCTTCAAAGTCAAATACAAGCAATGTGGAGAGTTTGGCAATCAAATCTATCGTGACGCTTTCTTCTTGAGTTGTATCGAGCTTGGTCTCTAGCATGGCATCGAATGCCCTGATGTGCCGTCTAGCTTCAAGATAGTGTTGTAAATGTGGTTCTACCTTGTCTTCCGTCCGAGATAGCGATATCAGCGCCGATGAGATAACAAAGTGGCAACGCATGGCCATTATTGCGATCTCACTGTCGTCAGGCGCGGAGAGATCTGTAGGATAGAAGCATGAAAAGGCAAGGCAAGCTTTGAATATCCGGAGGATATGAACAATGTCCCAAGTTTCACACTTCAACACACCCAAGTTGTATGCATTTTTCCGAAACCAGTGTAACTCAAACACAGTAAATAATTTGCCATCGCCATCTTGAGGATTCCGCTCAGCGCATTCGGCAGCTATATCCATAGAGTCAGAAAACGCTTCACATGATGTAATTGAGCAAATACCTTTCTCAAATAAGCAGCATAAATCGTCAGCATATACGGTGTTCTGAAGATGGACTTCCCTCATATTGCCCTCTTCTTCAATTGACTGGATGAGGCGTATTGAACACCGCAATATTGATGGCAGATTGCTCGGCGTCGCTTCATCGTCCTTCCAACTTCTAATAATGGCTTGAAGTGCCGCCAGAGCACATTGCCTGTCTCCCGCTAGCTGTGCCTCTCGGATACACGCGTATAATATGTCCCGACCTTCTGAAGACTCGGAGATTTGACTGAGATGTTGGATGCTTTCACAGCCAAGATCATGGTCCTGGTCAATGAGGGATATTTTGAATGTAAGATATCTCGTGAGAAAATGGTTTTTGACATTATCAGACATGGACTGAAAAACTTGTCGAGCTTTGCCTGTATCATTGAGATCCAGAGCACAGGTGATGAGTTTTCTGCTAAATTTGCCTTGGTTGGCTTCGCCACTATCCGTGAATATTGTGTGCAAGGCGATCGAGCACCAAGCCTCAACAACTTCAAAACGGTTATCGGAAATGACAGACTCTATTTTATTCCATATAACCTTCTATCCATTTAGCACAAGTAACAGGCTAAGTTACGAGCATTTGGAGCTTCAACTCACAGAGTGCGCTGCACCAGCAACGTCAGGCTCTAGGGGCTCAGAAAGGCCACCGCAAGCCTTGTCTAGTAGATTGTGAAGATCAGTCAGGGCTGAGATAGCATTTGTATCGTCCACTGTACTCATCCATATCCTTCGCACGAGAGTTTTACCCACCCAATCGCTATTCTTTGATGCAATGACGTGCCGCAGCAAAAGTTCATCCAATAGACCGCGCGCTAGACGATGGTTTCTGTCTCTCAAATTCTTGATATGATGCAAAAGAAAGGCGAAAGACGCATCAGAGTGGTCGAAAGAACGAACCATTCGATGTAGTATACTAAAGTAAGCTTCGATGTCGAAAACTTCTCCCGGAGCTTTCTGGAGAAGCTCAAGGCGCCAGTGCAGTACTAGCGGCTTGTTTCCAACCTCTGACTCGATGTATTCAATCAGTCTATTGGCTTCTTGAACACACTCCTGTGAACCGATGTCTAGAAGCCCGCGTACAAGTCCCTGGCAAATGGCCAATCGCAACTCCAGCCCTTTGATCGAGAGCTGATCTAACGCTTGGCGACTTATAAGATCGTAGGCGCGCTTTAACCATTTCACAGCCATACCGTAGTCTCCTTTTGAAGCAAGACCATATCCAATGTGCTGAAACGTATCAGCTATAAGCTCTGCAGAGCTAACATCGAGTGCTGGTCGAAGAAGATCAATTTTTCCAAACATGTGCTCTGCAACGTCAAGCCTATCTTCTTTCCAAGACTCTCCAACTTGTCAGTGAAGCACTCTGAAAGTATGTTTTGGCACAGATACATACCATAGCTGTCCTCATTGTCAAATATTCTGCGTCAAGCTTCACCCGTTCATTCTGTCCAATGGGATCCAAAGAGTCAAAAGGGATTGCTTTCAGGTGTTCCATCAGCTCCGCAGCTTTCTGCAGCGCCAACCTAGCCAAATCCCAATCTAATTCATCGATACAAATCTTGCCTAATGCCAAGGCCAGATTCATGAGATACACAGCCTCAGACTGGTTGTCCTTCTTGGCTCTGCCTGCACTTCGGCCCAATTCCAGCATCTGAAAGGCAAAAGACCGAGCCTTGACAATCAGCTTGGTGCTCTCCGCTGGTTTAGCCGCATCATGTTCTCTTCTCAATTTTACGCAAAGATTCCACAGATTGCGCCCTTTTCGTTCGGCATCCTTGGCCAAATCTGGGGGCAGAGGGCCGCTTGAGCCTGGTTGGGTTGCATTGTGAATCTGCTGAATATGATGGCCCGTGTCCGCGATGAGTAATTCGATATGTCCAGCGTCAAGGGGATTAGAGAGTTGAGATTGGAGGGTGGCTGCAAAGTCTATAACCAAAATCCGGTTAGAAGGCGATCTAAAGGGCGATGCGGATAAAGAGTAATGCGCTGCAATAATTACCAATGAATGAGCGGACTTTTCTTATCCTCGCAACGGAGGTAATATCCTCGAAAGGCATGCTAATGACGAGAAATAACTCTGCAATCTGGTAGAGGGCGAGATTCGCAGTTTCAAAAGCCTTGATTACGGGTAAGTCGCCCTGCCTTGCGTCGCAGCAGTGGCAGAAGAGAGAATACCAATCACGAAGAGATTTATCGCAACAGACAGCTGTAGGAGAGAAGAAGAGAAGAGAAGCAGAAGAAAAGGAACGGAGAGGGTGAAAAGGCTGAGTCGCTCGGAAACAATGACACGCAACAATCAGCAGCACCGCACCTTCCTCATCACGTCTCCCTTATGGGAAGGAAGGTGCCCCAGCGACGAGGGACTCAAAATCCAAGTACCTCCTCAGCAGGTCCCGTAGCATCTCTCAGTGCGCTCTCATGCGCAGTAGTGTTTATTCAATTGAAAAACTACCATGATGTTCAAATAAGGTAGGTTATGTGCCTGAAAAACTCTAGCGAACCCAATAGGAAAACCCCTCTCTGTTTATCAGCATCAACACCATCAACAACTGCTTCGAAATGATTCTTTCCAACATTTTCTGGGAATCTAAACGCCCCAGGAAGCAATATTGAAAAGAAGAAGAAAAGGAGAAAAAAAAAAAGAAAAAGGTGAACAAGGAATAAGAAAAAGCATAAAACATTATCAAAAGGTTTACCCCCTCAGCCATGCCCAGGAAATCCAGACTAAAAAAGCTCCCTTTTTTCCCAACCTTTGCCAGTTACGTAGGTATATAAACCGGCCCATACCAAGTCCAATAAGTCGCCCTTTTCTCGTCCGAGCGTACTAAAGCCTAACAGTAGCAAATACAGTGATTCATTAACCGGAAGGTATAGGGTTCACGATGCAGGAGGATCGTGCGGCAAAAAGTTTCCAACAATCAGTGCGGGCCTAAAATAAAAAGAAAGAAAGAAAGTTAGCTTCTTGCTTCTTGCTTATTCTGCATGTCTGTAGATGACTCACAGCTTATGCTCATCACGGCGTATCGAAAACGAAAAGCAACACTTAATAATGGGGTGATCTGACGAATCACTAGGATTCTTCAGAGAGCACGCCGTCAACAACGTATCGTGCGCTGGATCAAACGCAATGGTGCCAAATTCCTCCCAATATCGCACCATGGACTCTTCTGTAAGTATCTCGTGTAGCGCAATCTTGCCCTAAACGATCTGGTCAGTACTGATTACCACTTGTAGCTAGTAAAAGCCTTCTCCGGAGAACGGAAGAAAGGGGGGAGACACTAACATCTCGCAACCGATCGACTGGCACGTTAATCAGCTCCGCCATCTCTTTATTTCCTCTAAAAATTTCCCCCGTTCGTCTCCAGCAGCACGCCGGCACTGCCATGCTCGCAAAGACTCGGTCATAATCCATCAGCTGTTTCTCGAACCACATCTCTACGTACACAAGCTGCATGTCTGTCAAACCCTGTGCCTTTTCTCTAAATTTGGGACGAAACTGGTTGATTGTTCGCAAAATCTTTTGTTTCGAAGAGGGCGCGATATGACCGTCCAAGTATTTGCCCAACTTTGCATAGCCATTGATGTAATTGAAAGGTTTGAGTAAGCCGGCATCGTACTTGGCCTTGAGCACGCGAGACATGCGCTCTTCTGGGTTGTCATTTCCAGAAGGGTCGGCAGCCTGAAGGTAGTATTCTCGTGTCTTGTCCTTATTAGACCTCGTCACCGTCTTATCGTCAACATTGGGGGGAGGTAGCATGGATCCTCGCATATGCTGTGCCTGTAGGGAGCCGCTTGCTGCTAAATCGTTGTTGTTACTGCTGAAGCCACCAAGCATCTCTGACGCCGCTCCTGGCCGATTAAAGGCTGCGCTATTCTGAGCTTCATTGGAGGCAAGGTTGCTCTCATCGAGGAGGCTGCTGTGCAGAAAGTCGTTGAGTAGATTGAACTCGTGAGTGACCTCGGGTCCAATCATATAATTGGGGTTATAGGTATTCATATCGTGGTAATTCTGCGCCGTAAGCCAAGCATCCGAGAAGCCCGCAACTGCTTCACTGTTAGCTACCCAAAACATCATCATACTCGTGACAAAGATGAAATTGGGCTGGAGACTGGGCAAGCATTTTGATAAAATGGAGAAAAGCACAAAGGAGCGAGTCTTAAAAGCAATTAAAGGGGAACCAAGGGGTGGTTCCAATCTTCTTCTGGCAGGGCTTACATTGATTCGCGTTACCATTGCTGTTCAGCGCGCTGGATTGCAAGCCCGACGAAGCGTCGGGTTGCACAAGAGACAATGGATTGCCTTGTCCAAGAACGCCTCCAGCCCCAATGCCCGAATTTGCCCTCTGCCTGGCGCCATCGAAAGCTGGGGGTGGGCCCATGGCGCTGGAGAGGGAGCTGTGGCCCAAATCAGACGGTGACATGGTGTCGGAGTCATCTACGGACGCTGTTGAGGCGGTTTTGGCGGAGGCCGTCTTTTTCTTTGGCTCCGATTCGCGGGGCTCATCGTGGCAGAGATGACCAATATTCCTCTTTATGCATCTGGTACACGGCCGCTCCTATGCAGGGCGTTAGAATATCGGATCAGAGATTTCGGCCAGTAGAAAGCCCTATACGTAGAGGGAGCCTTGAATAATGCCATGAAGCCTTCCGTGGCAGATTGGAGGAGAAAAGGAAAAAAAAAAAAAATAACATAACCCCTCTGCGGAGGTTTATGCAGGAGATGTACTTACGAGATCGCATGTCATGTGCTACTCGCATCCAAGTTCCAATCAGTTAGCCACGATCCTTCTTCTTTCCTTTTCGTCTCCTTTCATTACAAGTGAAGCAGTGAAGCAGTGAAGCAGATAAAATGCCAGTCATGCTTTCACACGCAAGTGGCATCACATCATATCACCGTCTGCTCTTCTTTCAAGGCGGGTCAGACTTACAGATCTGCGACAATACACGCAAGCTGCAGAGGCAGAGGCAGAGACACGCAGCTACTCGTTAGCCTATGTTGCAATACACATACACACGTGCTCGACTTTTGCGCCTCCAAGGTCGCCAGCCACATGAATTCGACCGAATTGAGGGTGGGTGGAAGAGAAGAAGAGAAAGAGGCAGCAAGCCAACCGTCGCGTCCAGCTGGCCCTCCTTGTCCAGCTCTCCGGGAAACATCACGATAACTGGAATTCAGGGAGGGGGGGTGTGAGAAGGCAAGATGTTGCGTACCGTGGTTAACCTTGCGTCTCTTCTTGGGATTCTTGCCTGCGCCTCCAGCCGCATTGCGATCCTTATCCTTGACGCGCTCGACCGCATCGCCTTTGGCAGCCAGCCTGCTTCGCTCCACCACCTTGTTTCCGCCTCCCTTGGCATCCATGGCACCCGACGCCATGGCCGTGGTACCGGCAGCCTTGCGCTCGCTCATTGCTGCTGTGCTCTCTCACGGTGCTGCCCTCTGTTGTGTATGCCCTTTTTTGTCTTTTATTGACCTATTGTCCTTTGTCTCTGTTTCCTCGGGATCTCTCTCTCTCATCTCCCGACGGCTCGGGCTCCCATTGGATCTATCCGCCTCGGAAGGGTTACGCAAACACGACAAGACTGCAGATCATCGAACAGGAGGGAGGGAGAGTAAGACGTCGCAACTGTTGTTTCGAGCGGTCCCGATGGCGCAACCAGCATTGCCCGAAGCTGTGCGGCCAGCCCTTTCCCCCAAAGAAGGCGACACAGGGTCTCCCCCGTCAACGCACGAGGACAAGAGGAACAGACGTGAAAACACAGGCAAAGGAAAAAAGAAACAAAAGAGGTCGTGTGAGATCCAACCACCAGCCGGTCCGTGTTGGCCGGTCTTCGGAGGGCGCAGACAAGGCGTTCGTCTCGTTCGGCCGGTGTTTCGAGAATCAGGATCGCGGTCCTTTTGCCAGGCAGGAATGGGATGCAGACGCAGAGTTTGGCCAGCAAACCGAGATTTAAGTTGAGCACGAGAGCAAGAACCGCATCAGCAGGAAGCGCAAAACCGCAGCTGCGTTGAGGCACCCGGGCCTTGTTCAGCTGGGCGGCCCCCCCCCATAATCCTCCCTCCTGGTGGGGACCTGGCACCGAAGGCTTTTCGTCTCGCGGGGCTTGGCGCTAAAGAAATGGGCGCAGTACCTGCGCTGCGCTAACTGCCCGGGGCCTTGAATGCTGCAGCCAGACTGCACTGTACTGTAGCGGGAGACGGGTGCTGGATGGGTGCTGCTGAGCGCTGTACGGCAATGCCTAGACAGCGCCTGTAATGGGCAGGCAACCTAACTGTAGCCGCTATAACTCGTAGTGGAGGGTCGCCCAACCGCCGCAATTTGCAGAGCTGCCTGCACAACACACACACAAGTAACATCCAGCGCGATATTGACGAATTTTTTTCTCTCCTGGTTGTTGGTCCCTGTCAATGTCTAATGCCCGCATGCTTATTGGGCACCGCAATTAAGGTTTTTCTCTTCATCTGTTCTTTGCCCTCTTCTCTCACTCAAAGCACGACACCACTATGAAATAGAGATGCTGCTAACACGGATCCCCAGCAACTACGGATGAGAACATTGAACATATAAAATCACCCTTCTACCGAGGAAAGCAGCGCTGTCGGTCCAGCAAGCTATAAAAGCGCTAAATGCACTTCCCGTTCCCATTTTCCCGGCCCCAAGCCAGCCGCCGGCCTCACGGGTCGGATGTCGTCGCTTCGCTCGTGCCGAGCTACATCCATGACATACATGTTGGAGCCAAACCATGCCAAAAACCACATGCAGGACCTCGGGAACTACAGGCATGGGTCGAATATTATTGCAAGGGGGGACTTCAAAGATGGACATTGGCCTGTCCGCTCCAGTACTACATGATTGCTAGTGACGTAAAGAGTAGTTGAGCTAGGTAACGATAGTATAGGCAGTCAATTTTAAAACTAAATTTCGCCATTAATTTAAGAAGATAGATAGAATCATTGACACATGATAGCAACATATTCATTAGAATGAAGAAATATTGAACATTGCTTCAGCGGCTATAGCAGGCTTTCTGCCAGCCGATAGTCCTCTAATCCGGCAACTCACTTCAATTTTCGCCGTCACATCGGAATATCTCGGATCAGCGCACCTCGATATTACATAATGCTTCTGTTTTTAAACCAAGCCTGACGGAGAATCGCGGGATAACGCTTGGAGCTAGGATTTCTATATTTGGCAGTGTTCTTATAAGAGATTTTCTAATTTTGAATTTTTGTAGCAAAGAAACAGTTGAGTGATCCTAGCGCTAATATATCACATGGTCGCTGCGTACATGTAAGATGATTGGCATATTAGGAGACGATAATGGCCCTCGAATCATGGCCGAGTGATGAGCATGCCAAGAAGGGCAGGGAAAGACAAGATGGCCAATCAGAGTAAATTCATTCCCAGCTGATGATACTGCAGAGTGATTGAGTGCATATGCACATCATAAGTAGATGGTCAAATGATGTATAGTGCTGCAGCTCATATCGCCACAAAGAAGCTCTTCTCTCCTTCCTTGGGAGCCACACGAGCCTTTCTCATAATCTCATCCTCGCACATCAATCTGATCCTCTCCGGCGTAGCGGGACTCTCCAGCCTCAGCAGCCCATCTTCGCCATGATCTCCTCCTCCTCCAACTTTCGCCTCAATGCCGGCGTCTTTCCGCGCAGCCTTGAGCGCATCTCGAATAGCAAAGAACACTGAACTACCCATGAATAGCGGAGGCTCGCCCACGCCTCTGCTGCGCTGGATCGTCCGCAAATCCTTCCACTCGACGTCCTTGAGCAGCGTGACGTTGAACTCCTGGGGAATGTCGCGGAAGCCGGGGATCTTGTACGCCCCGGGCCCGCGCGTGAAGAGATTGCCGGCCATGGCGCCGTTCCTTAGCCACAGGGACTCTTCCATGGTGAAGAGCCCGAGTCCTTGCATGAAGGCGCCCTGGATCTGGCCGTAGTCGATGGCCGGGTTGATGGAGTGGCCAACATCCATCTTGATATCTGCGCGGAGGCAGGTCCACGTGCCGGTCAGCACGTCGATTTCTACCTCGGAGAGCGCCACTCCTTGCGTAAAGTAGAAGAACAGCTTGCCCTTGTTCTCGCCCCATGTGTACCCAATCTCTGGTGTCTTGTAGAAGCCCTGAGCAGACAGGTTGACGCGGTCGAAGTAGGCGGCATGAGCCAGGTCTTTCATCGTGGCCTCCGGACCGAGTTTCTCTCTGTAAGGGGCGAGTCGCTCATTGAGTTGCTTGCACGCGTTGAAAATGGCATATCCGTTCAAGTCGGAAGAAGCTGATGCAGCTGTTGAAGAAGCATTGGCAACCGTGTTGGTGGCCGTTTCTGAGATGTGGACATTGTCCAGAGGAACCTGTAGAGCTTGTGCAGCAATCTGAGTCATCTTGGTGTGAAGTCCTTGGCCCATTTCAGTGCCTCCATGAGCCACCAGGACGGAACCATCGTGATAAATGTGTACCAGGGCTCCCGCCTGGTTGAGGAAAAGGGCCGTGAAAGAAATTCCAAACTTGGTGGGAATCAGAGCCATTCCCCTCTTACGCCATTTATGGCTCTCATTGAATTTGACAACGGCCGCTTTGCGCTCTGCATAGTTGTTTTCTTCCTGAACCTGCTTGTACATGAGCGGGACATGCCAATCTGTAACAGCCTGGTTAAAGTGCGTCAGGCCAAGAGGCTCGTAAAAGTTGATTTCCCGCAGGCGGTCAATGGGAATGCCCAAACGGTCCGCGCACTCCTCCATGCAGGTTTCCATGATGAACATGCCCTGAGGCCCACCGAAGCCGCGGAACGCCGTATTGGAAACGGTGTTTGTTTTGCAAATGCGGCCTCTAACAAAGGCATTAGGAATGCGGTAGCACCCGTCGACGTGTGCCATTGCTCGCTCAAGTACTGCAGCGCTGAGATCAAAGGTCCATCCGCCGTTGTTGAAGATGTCGACATCAAGCGCCTGAATCTTTCCATCCTTGTTGAAACCTATCTTGTATTTGCCCAAGAAAGGGTGCCTTTGGCCCATGGTGATCATGTCTTCTTCTCGAGTCAGCATGCAGCGGACTGGTCTCTTGGTCTTCTTGGCAGCGAGAGCTACGGCGCAGCTGAGAGGGATAGATCGAGTCTCTTTGCCACCAAAGCCGCCTCCTAGTCTCTTTACACGGACGACAACTTTGTTAGCTGGTACATCGCAGATACGAGCAGCGAATGCTTGCCTATAGATAAGAAGAGTCAGCTATAAAATCCCACAAAACAGATGAGAAATAGAAAAGAAACACTCACGCCTCATTTGGATTCTGCGTGCTAGAGAAAACCTCCATTGCTCCATCTTCTGGACTAGGAACGACCAGAGTTGCATTGGTTTCCAAATAAAAGTGCTCTTGGCCACCCATCCGCGAAGTGCCTGTAAAGACATAATCACAATTCTTGAAAGCTTCTTCCACGTCGCCCGTCTTAATCTCGCGGTAGAATGGGTGAAAGCTGTCGTTCTGGATGGCCTCCTCGATTGTCAAGATGGCTGGTAAATCTTCGTATTCTATCTTGACAGCTCTGGCTGCTTCTTGGGCTTTGGACGCCGAAGTAGCGAGGATCATGGCAATGGGTTGACCGGCTGTGCGTACTTCGCCTTCGGCAAAGAAAAGCTCATCGAAATTAGGTGCGCCAAACCGATTAGCAGAGGCCGACGGCACATCTTGCCTGTCCACATAATCAACCACGCCAGGCATGTCGAGAGCAGTAGAATAATCGATAGAGAGGATCTTGGCATGTGCTCGGGTTGACAGAACCCAGCATCCATACAACTCATTCTTCATGGGCGGGATATCGTCCGTGTACTGTGCTTCACCAGTCGTCTGTTTCAGTGCGGCAAGATGGATGTTCGATTTGCCAGTGACCTCTTTCTCGTAAGCTGCCGCTGCGGTTGAATCGGTTCGCCCAAACGATATAGATCGCTCTATTTCATCGATGGCTTGCGTATCAATGTGCTCGCTTTGCCCGCTCAGGATAGCGAGAGCATCGTGATAGAAGCGGTAGAAGAAGCCGAGAGCCAGCGCTTTTCGATATGATGCCATGCCTCCAGGAACGCTGAATTCAAGATCAAAATCGTTCCCTAGGGCACTCATAGTTCCCTCCAGCGTCTCCAGCTCGGCAAGACGTTTCCCAACCAGGTACTCTGATGCAGTCTTGGCCGAGACAGTCATGGCAGCCAAGCCGCCATAGATGAGGTTACAGTCAGTAACAACGCCGTCGTCGTCGAGTTTGACTCTCAGCGCCGCAGTGACAATGGCAATGTCGTCGTCCTTTCTCTTCGCTTGCTTGTAGGTTCGGTAGAACTCTCCCTTGGCCGCGGTAACGGGAATCCTTAGTGATGCGATGACGGCGTCTTGAGCAAGCGCTGTCCTTCGGTATCCTGTGAAGAACTGTGACAGCGGAATCTCCGTCTCTTTAGCCAATGACTTCGCCACCAAGACTGCATTTGCACCCCACAAGGCCGGATTCAAATCAGATATGGGCGAAGCGGTGACTAGATTTCCAGCAGGAGTTCCGACATTTCTGATCTGCCTGCCGGCAAAGTACTTTAACTGTTTCAGAATACCCTTGAATACTTGCGCTCTTTCATGTCCATATCGCTCGATGGCGTCTTCACAGATATGCTCAAAGTCAGTCAGGGTCACGTTGCCACCAATTTCGAGATGATCCTCCTTGAACTCGTATTGTCGCAGCTCGGCGATGTCGCCCACGTAAACCGATACCGGGTATTGTAACGCTTTGAACTTGATTTCGATCTGCGTCTCGGTACTTCCTCCAATAATCTTGGCGTGTGGGTGCACACTCTTGATTTGGAGAAGCTGCTCCAGTGTGACGGGTCGAAACCACTTCTTCCTCTTGTTGCCGAAAGCGAGAGGCCGTAACTCATGCTTCTTCAGGGAAGGGGGGAAGATGAGTTCGGTATCCGGATTATACTCGATGAATCCTGGAGGCGTGAATCTTTTGATTGGCTGGTCATCGTTCTTTTTGTCCATACAGCATCCCCCCGCAGGCTTGCCACTTCCATTTTCCATGCAGCAACCGCCGCCGCCATTAGTTGTGGCCTTGCCGCATGACATCTCGGCGCTGAAGGTGTTGGCTGCGTCTAGAATAGATCTGTACCCCGTGCAACGACACAAGTTACCGTCAAAGGCTTCTTCCACCTCATGCTGCGTAGGGTTCGAATTGTTTCGTAGCAAGGCATACAGGCTCATGACAATTCCGGGCGTGCAGAACCCGCATTGGCTCCCATGAGATTTGGCGACGCGTTCTTGTGTGGGATGCGGGCTCTTTGTGTTGCCAATGCCCTCAATGGTGACGACATGTTTGCCATCGAGACTTACAAGAGGTGCTAGGCAGGCATTCACACTCGCGTGATAGATCTTCTTGGTGGTGGGGTTGTACTGGCTCACAACAATGGTGCAAGCACCGCATCCACCTTCGCCGCAGCCACTGTTAATCAGAGGGTTTGTTAGTTTTGTTTCGTTGATGAGTCTCAGATTGAGATGAAACTGTGGAAACGGGTGATGAATCGTACAGCTTGGTTCCTGTCAGTCCAATGCCTCTCAGGTACTCTAGGACTGTGATCTCAGGGTCAATTTCGTCGAGAACGACTTTGGTTCCGTTGAGGTAGAAGCGAATGGTGTCCTCAAACTTGGCAGTCAGATCCGCCAGCGTGTCCAACTGCCCGTCTCGTTCGGGGGATATCGCAATGGGCGCCATTGTGACGATTTGAACAGAAGAAATAGGATTGAATGGGAAGAGGGGAGTTGTGAAGGGAACGCTAGGACATAGCAAAGCAGAGAAGAATAAGATGCCAAAGATGCAAAAGATGATTAGAAATGCAAAGAATCAGCCAGTAGTAGAACAATCCAATTCAAACCAATACAGCACGCTTGAGATATTGCTTGGTTTAAAGAAGAGTTTCCTCAGCTTGATTGTGCTATGCGCTCACCGGTAGGAATGTCCAAGCGTAGTTGTAGTTGTACCAGGTGGCGATACGGATTGTCGAGTTCCTGAAAAGAGGCGGTGGTACCCAAGTACAAGTATATATTCCCAAGGTACGGCCAGAATTCAGGTCCCGTGGCCGAGAATGGCGCAGGGCTGCCCAACCACATCGGCCGCTACCCCATATTATACGATATGGACGATGGATTCATGTAGATAAGAGCACAGTACATGCACGAGCCAATGGAAGCTAATCCTAGGCGGAGGCAACATGTGCGTAAACATGCACGATCCGCCGTCTGGGTGAAACTTTGCACTGGGCTGTGCCGATGCCACCCACCTCGGAATAGTACCAGTAGGTATCTCTGTTGGCTACCTATACGGAGTGCAGGTACCGTTTTGCCTCTTCTCTCATACAAGTCTACCTCGAGTACATGTGTGCAATCGCCGAGGCCAATCAAGGTTGTGACAACTCAGCTGCAGCAAACTAAAAACTATGCGGTAGCAGTATATGCCGGGAAAATACTATATTGTCTCGTAGGCCACATAAGCTTACCTCGAGTAAGCAAAGCACTGCGCTACGTAATTGATTGATTAATAACAGCAAAAGACGCTACTGTAGCCGTCGAGCATCGCATTTTAGCACCGGGCCTCCATATTGGAGATCGCTATCGCCCCTCACTGCCAGTTTCCCCCGCTGGAGCAATCCGCGCTTCGGCCGGCTCCGCTGCTGAAAGGGCACTCCACCCATCGGGTAGTTCCACTGTCGATGCTGAGAAGGGAGCGAATTTGAGGCTCTTGTCACATCTCAGGTAAGAAATAAAAAGTATAAATGAACGATTAGAGTATGTTCGGGCAGTGTAAAATGCTGGGGCCGGCTCGTTGATTTCAGCAATCCAGGGTCTATGGCTCTTTCAAATTGCGTTCATAGAGAATCAGATATTTGCTGAAAGAGAGTCAGATGTCCAGACTAGCGATCCCAACTGGGTACTCTGTGATGCCCAGATGAACCCGTTCTCTTATCTCTTTCATTCTATCTATTTCAAAATTGGGAACGTCCGAATCTCGTGATTTCAATAATATCTCCTATGTGAGGAACGGAAATCTATTGTGCCACAAGTCCCCTTTCCTAAGTTCCACCAGCCTCGCTTTTCGTCTACACATATATATTGGAAACGTTGTATTTTGTTACATCTATTTCATATACTTCTTCAGTCCCCGCAGTCTATTCTTCGCCTCCTCCAACACCGAATCCTCCTTGCACACCGCAAACCGCAAGTAATCCTCCGCCATGTGCGCATTCTCATCCGTATAAAACTCCGTCGGCGGGATCGCCGCAACGCCAACCTCGTGGATCAAGAACCACGCCAGCTGGAAGTCTCTCGGCCGGCTTGCCACGTGCGCCGGGAAAGGGTAGTCCTCTGGCAGCTGCACCTTGGCCATGTTGACCAGAACAAAGTAGCCGCCCTCGGGCTCGGAGTAAGGGAGGCCCAGCTCGTCCCAGACTCCGTTGAAGAGATTCATCTTGGCCTTCATGTCTCGGACGGTCTTGTCCCAGAAGCCTTCGGCTTCGGCCTTTTCGAATCCGACAGCGCAGGCTTCTTGTAAGGGCGAGACGGATGAGTAGCAGATGCGCGTGTGTGCTGCGGAAACGTATTTGATGAGATGCTCGGGGCCCATCAGCCAGCCTGAAAGAAATCATCATGTTAGTGGTTAAGAGTCCTCGTCAGTGTTAACACTAGATGGGAGTGTTTATGCCATACCGACACGCCAACCGGTGGCATAAAAGTTCTTGCCAGCAGAACCAACCGTAATAGTCAGCTGTTCGATTTCAGGCGACAGAGTCGAAATTCTGGTAAAGGGTACGTAGAACAGACGATCATACACCTCATCAGAGAGAATAATGATCTCATGTTTCACACACAGGTCGCCAACCTTCTGCAGCTCCTCCTTGGAGAACACTTTGCCAACAGGGTTGTCTACAAGAGTGACAGATATTAGCCATGCTCATCTTTTCGTGATCCAATAGAAGCAAACTCACGGGGAGTGTTGAGAACAATCATCTTTGTCTTGGGGGTAATGGCTCTCTCCAGCTCATCAAAGTCAATGGTCCAGTCGGCTGCCGAAGACGTCTTGACGGCTCCCGTGGCAGGAGGGTGCAGGGGCACATAGACAATCTTGCCGCCGGGCATCTCAATGTTGCTAATGTACCTATTTCTCAGTGTAAGCAACTCTTGGCATGACACAAATTATGTTGATGGGTTGCACGTACTGGTCAAAGAAAGGCTCAAAGATGATGACCTCATCACCAGGCTCAATGAAAGCCATGAAAGCACTCAGCATGCCTATATCAATGTTTAGAAAACCGGCTGCAATCCTCGCAATATCACCTTCACCTCATCCAGGTCAACTCACCCTCGTTGGCTCCCGTCGTAATGGTTACTTCAGTTTCGGGGTTAATCTTGCGTCCCCAATAGGGCGAGTAGGCGTCGGCAATGGCCTGCTTTAGCCTGGGCCTGCCCTTGGTGGGAGAGTACTGGTTGCATTCCACCCGGTCGAGCGCATCTTTGGCTGCGTCGAGGATGAACTTGGGCGGGTTGTATCCGAAGAAGCCCTGTCCCATGTTGACGATGGGCTGTTTGGGCGACGCCGCAGCCGCCTCGTTGATGATGGACCTGGACCACTCTCGTCTCAGCAATTGGCGTCTCAGTCTTCAATATGGCTCTGTTGTCTTCAAGCCCCAAACTTATATGCACCCACATGCACACACGCGCAACTTACCACACATCCTGCTTCTGGCCCTCGACCCGCGCCGCGGGCTTTAGCTTCAGACTGCCACTCATGGCGGAATAAGATCTGAGGGTATGCGCCACAGGCTCTCTTCTCCCAGCAGCGAGAGCGATTTGGTTTCGAAAAGTCACAAGAGAAGAGGTTCGAAGAGCAGAAAAAGACATTGAAAGACGCGCGCCCGCTTTTTTTGTCCCCTTCGGCAAAAAGAGCTAACGCAGTAGCCGGTGATGCGATTGATTGATATATGGAGAAAAAAAAGAAGAGTGCTCGGACTTGGCTTATCACCACCCCTCCTTTTGGGCCTTGATCTTTTGTGTCTTTTATATGCCGCCTGTAGCCACGCAGGATTGCAGAGCCGAGATGCTGAACGCTGGACTCGGGCTCGGTCGGTTACTCAACAGACAATTCCGCTCTGCTACTAATGCTTGATGACACTCAAAGGGCGAGACTGACCGGTTGCGACATCGGCTTAAGCAGGGCTACACAGGCACTGAAAGCAGCAGGTCGCTGACTAAGGGTGCTGCGGGACCGCCAAAGGATCTAGGCGATGGCGTCAGTTCCCGTGAGGATGAAGATTAACGATCAGCCGGATATCTACCAGGTATACGGTTGAGTTCTTGCAGTAGTCAGGGCACAAAGGGTGCATCGGGGGTTCTTGGTACGGAGTACTCAGGCATACAATTAATTCCATTGGCTTGATTATATGTGCCTAGGTAGCGATAGAGCATATGCCTACGGCAGTATAAGCTCTAGCAGCTGAGCTACCCTAATACCATACAGATGGATGGCGATATGACAAGAGCTGTGATATAAAGTCAACACAATGCTGTACAGTAATGTATTAGGATCCAAATTTCAGAGAAAATGTAAAAGAAACACGGTTATGCACCTGATACTATATCCACGTATAATTTTCCTTTCTCCCTGTAATAACATGGAATCAAAGTGCATACATAACCGCCTCAACTCATTTCGTACCATCAACAACGTACCAGCAATCCAGTCTCTCATCATAACAAATCAACCATGGCTCTACAAAGCACACCAATTAACAACAAATTCCTTACCAAAACGAGATAGGCCGAAATTCCTCAGGAGACTTGATTCGCAGTCCCTCCGTGCCAACGCTCTCCTCTCCTCCCTTCATCTCCTCAAGAAGACTAACCGTCGCCTCATAGCATTTCTCCGCTGTGATGCGCTCTCTAGCTCTCCAAGCAAGCAATCTCATCAAAAGCTTGACAATTTTGTTTCTGGGGTTCAGCTTCTGAAGCTGCTGCGCGTGGTTTGCGCATTGTCGGGGGTACCTCGCAAACCCGGCCTTGGTCTTCTCACACTGCGGCCACTGGCCAGTCATTCCCAGCAGGCTGATACCCAGAGCCCAAATATCGTCGCTTTTGCCTTCATGGCGATTATTGGCCGTCATCTCTGGTGACCAGTAGTTGGGCGTACCGCCAGGGCGGCCCCGGTACGAATCATGAACCTTACAGTCTGCGCAGTCCGCCAACGCTACGCTGATGGGGTCGAGACGGCGAACAAGGATGTTTCTCGGCTTGATGTCTGAATGAAAGTAGCCTCTTCCATGGAGGTAGGCGAGCGCATCTGATATCTGACTGGTGGCTAGAAGGATCTCTTCTTTGCCCATGCCGCCAGGAGCGTGGTTGATACGCATATGGAGGGTTCCTTCAGTACAGAGCTCGGTGATTAAAAGAGTAGCATCTTCTTTGTCTAGCTCTTTGTAAAGCTCGATAAACTCCAAAATGTGTTTCTGAATGAACAAAGAAATGAAAGCAGTTAGTTGAGTGTGCTGACTGGTTTTTGCTCTCACTTGTACTGAAGACAAAGAAATTTTAATAATGGAAAAAAGAAAAAGAAACTTACGTGAGATAGCGTGCGAAGCATTTTGGTCTCTTTATAAAGCTGGTTAACCGACGTGGATGCCTTGCCAGCCAGTATCTTTCCATCTTCAACTCTCCGGGTCTTATAGACGATGGACCACCCTCCCTGGCCCAAGACGCTACCCCGAAGGTACTTGTCAGAGGCAAAAGTGCGCTTATGCACATCTGAATATATCTCGTCTTTTTCCGTCCATGTGTCGAAGGTATCGAAATTAGTATCCGGGTTTGTGCCTTGCGAGAACCACGTTCCCTCAGGAGGACTGTTACTGCCCATGATAAGAAGGCTGTCGGACAACTTTTGCTCTGCAAGATGAGTTACTCCGGAGTAAATAAGAGAAAGAAACGAAAGGATTTGGGATGTCAGGAATTTAAAGAAGAAGAAAGAAACGCCGTTCAAAGAAGACGCGAGCCAAGCGTTGCCAACGTTACACGATGTCAGGTGTGCATGAAGCTGATGAAATTCATCAAAAAGGATGAGGCTGAAGGAGAAATAAAGAGGCAGGAAAAAAGAGTGAAGAAGAAGGTCATAAATACGTGCAACCCAAGCTTCAAAACAAACTGCAAACGCCCGGGGCAATACACTGCCCTCCCCCCCTAAAGCAAGAGTGCCTTGGTGCCCTCTACACTATAAGGTGTAGCACATAGCCTCAGTACCTAAGGTAGGAAACTTTCATCCCAAGCACATCTAAGTCGGCTATAGCTGCCAACAATTAGACAACAAATTTTCTTTTTTTTATAAACAAACTTCCCGTAGGTGCGTTTATAATAGAAGGGTGACAGCTTATTGGCGGTTGAGCAAACTGTTGAAGAAAAAGCATACCAGATTCACCCAAAGAAGCATTATTTCGCAGCTTCATGGCAACAAGTTACAAAACAAAAAGTCAAATTAACAACCATATTCGTCGTCTGATAGACTCCCCGAGATATGTGATTATAATGATACACTTTAAAAAAACTTCACCACATCACCCTCACGCCCTACCCTTCCTCCCTTGATAAACACCAGGGAAGCACAAAAACATCCCCGAAAATCATCGAATAGATCGCCCCCATCTTTCGCCGCGTACTTTCAACAACAACACATAGCGAATGCCACTTGCGTCTCATCTAATACTGAGCCCTTGAACCAGATCGCCATTTTACTCCCCGTTCCCAAACTCGCGGAATTCTCCACAATCAAAAAAGAAAATAAAAGAATTTCTGAGTGACACGAATGTCGCTCTCTCTCCAATCAAAGAAAACAAATCGAAAAAAATTTCATGACTTTTTTCCCATCGATCGTATCGTTAATGACTTAATACGTAAAATATTGTCGGTTCTTGTTTTATCTCGCCAAACTGATGCCCCTAGGTAATAAGAAGGAAAAAAATAAGAGAGGTGAAAGAAGAAAAAATACCTAGTTGTACATGCGTACTAAAAAAAGAAAGGAGCACCATGGGTATGCCTGTAAGAAAAAAGGAAAAAGAGAAAAAAGTCGAAAAGAAAACTATCCTTGTTCTCAGCTTGCACTCCGCCGCTGAGAGGCTCTCCTCAAATTCTCCATCATCCGCTCGACAAACTCCATTGATTCGCAGCCTGGAACGTCAGGGAATCCTTCAGGTTGGTGATGCATCGTGGTTTGCGCAGTATGGGGCTGAGGAGGGCGATCAGCCATGGTCTGTTGATTAATCGTAGAAGACGGCGTTAGTAAAGCCGCAGATTGTTTCATGTCTGGAATTACATTATTGGTGTTAAATGGGGTTTCAATACTCGGTACTGCTGCTTCTTTTGGAGTAGCCTCTGCTTTGGGCGTAGCAGCTCCAGGCACGCCGTCTTCCGGACCATTCGGTCCCTTGGCCTGCGGTGGATTCGATGATTCGGGCTTCGCTGGCGGAAGTGTCGTCGCTGCTTTGCTCTCCTGAGGTAACATGGAAAACTTGGGGAGTGGCACTGGGGTGACTGATATTCTTTGCGGCTGTTGTGGCGTTTTGGATGCCGACCCCACAGGCGTTGCTGACCCACGGAGAGATGTTGATGACGAAGATGCCATGGCCGATTTAGTATTGGGAGACCCGGCCTTGGGACTGGACGGCTGAGCTGGCGAAGGTTTGGGAGAGGACTGCATAGGGGTGCCGGGCGACGAGGCCATAGCAGCTAAGAAGCCTGCTGGTAAGGGAACTGGAGACTGCTTAGGTGGAACCTGCATTGCGGATTTAGTCGACTTCAAGGACAGACTGATAGCTGCGGGTAAGCCAACCTTGTACGACTTGGGCGCGGGGGCTGGCTTAGGCTTGCTGGGCTGCTGAGCCATATTCCTGTACTGAGCCTTGATCGCAGGATGATACTGATGGCTGGCAGTCCCTAGTATTGGCGGGGGTAGCGAAGTGGTCATCTGCTGAGGTGTTGTAGAGATTGGTGCTGCCCCTGACGAGACGGCTGTTGCAGGTGAAGCCTGGTATGGTCTCGCGGAGCCAACTGGAGACATGGCCGCCAAAGATGCTTGCCGGAGAAGATCGTTCTGGTTTGCTAGCAAATGCGCTCTCAAATCGCCTTCGTAGCCGTTGGTAAACCCGCCCCAAGGTGAATACGGAGTTCTATATTTCGACGCATCCCTTTTAAAATCTGTTAGTCAAACTCGTCATATCATGGAGGCGGAGAAAGAGACTTGCCTATTGTGATTTACTTGAAAAAATGGGTACTTTTGGTATACTGATGAGTGAACCTGCCATGTAGGCTTACTATATTGCTGGGAAACCTGTGCTGGTGGAGCAGGTTTCTGGCCTCCTACTGACAGCGTGGAATAGAAATGTGACGGCTGCGCAGGTGGCGGCGCCGGCGCCCTGTTAGCCTGGAACTTTCCACCTGCTCCAGCCATTGGTTCAAATCGCTGTACTGTATACGGCTGATACTTTTGAATATTGGGAGGAGCAGCATTCGCTGCTTGGAATGTGTATGTGCCGGGGTGGTAGTAAGTCGACGCTGTAGAAGTTCTCGGTTGATAGACATAAGGTTTTTCCAAGCCCGTATAACTCGTAGCAGTAGGGCCATAGAGTCCGTAGGCTCTCTGTTGATAGACCTGTCGCACAGGCGCAGGTTTGGGGGGCTTTGGGAGTGTATCCAAGTAGTTGCTCTTGGTATTGTACCGCGGGATTGTTGGATCCTCGGTGTACTGCGCTCTGGCTTCGGTCGATGTCTTGCCAAGATAATGCCAGATCTGATCTTGCTTGGCAAAGTCGATCTTTGCCTGCTCTTTATTCGCAATCTCGCTAGTGTGAAATTCTGCCCAGGTAAAGCCACCTTCGACAAAGGTATCGTCTTTCCGAGGCTTGTCATCACCTTGCTGGCGCTTGGCATTGAGCTTATCCTTTGCCTTTTGGGAAGATGGTAGCGGGATGGCATTTGCCGATGCCTTGGGTAAGTGATAATCAGATGGGTCTGGAAGCAGGAGCCATTTCCACTCAACTTCCATCCGATCACCGTTTGGAAGGACATCAACTAGCAGCATTCGCTCATCTGGTCGATTGTCCACCACGACTCCAGCAAAAATCTCACCCTTGTGATATTGCAGCTGACAAATCTCTCCTTTGTTGAGGGCCTCGGCCGCCTTCAAGATACGAGAGTCATCTTCCAAGGCGTCGCCATCCAGCTTCTTGTCGCGCTTGGCACGGTGGAAGCGACAGCTAAACTCAAAAGCCTGTTCTTTGTATTCCGTCCCGTCCTCACCAAAAACTGGAACCTCTTGCTCTTCGGTAAACGCTCCAGCCGCTGCTGCGCACGTAGCGTGGTACGCCCTCGTGCATTTCTTTTGGGAGCATTGGAAGCAAGCCCCGCGTTTTGATCGACAGAGTAAGCATTTGAGATCAAGCCGATCTTTGTGTATAGAAGAAACGTTGAATACAGTTTCTTTGCCGTCAACTGTATCAATGTATGTCTCAGGAATATAGAGGGCGCAGAGGCGATGTGCTTTCCTGCCGTCGTCTGTAGGAAGAAACTCCAGACTGGGGATGTCGTTGGGGCACAGACAACAAGGTGGTTCAGCCTTGACTTTGAGTCGTAATCTGATCTTCTTAACCTTGGTCTTGGCCCCCTTGTCTGCTTTGCCGCGCTTCCTCTTTCGATTGGCATCCTTGAATTTCACAGCGTGACCTGGAGGAGTGGGAAGTCCAGAAAGCTCATCGTCATCGTCGTCGTCTTCATCGTCATCGTCGTCCTCTGTCTCTTCGTATTCTGTTTCTTCTCCGCGCAGCTTTCTCTCAATCTCGTATACATTAACCCACACGCTGTCTTGAGCTTGAGCACATTCACACTTCTTGGCGATTTTGCCCATCTCAAGCCAGGAATCGAGGGCAAAATTGACTGCTTCGGCGCAGTTGTATCCTAGATTGTAGCCGGAATGATATCCATAGGGGTACGTGACAACGAATTCGCCGGGGTAAGAGACAACTCGGTTGACCTTGATGCCATAGTGCTGCTGAAGGTGTTGCGGCGAGATGAGGAAAGCCTTGTGGCGAAGGAATTGATCACAAGCTTTAGCATCGGCAGGCCAGATGCTCTTCATAGCAGCCTCAAATCGTCGGGCATCAGCCTGTGAAATGCTGTACCATTGTTTTGGAGCGCCAAAGTGAAGAAAATTGATGCTGTACAAGTCGACATCTTCAAGATGCCAGGCAAAAGTCGCCTTCCACATTCCAAGGTAGAGATATGCAGTATTGACACCAGGGACCTTTGTGCCAAGAACATCCAGGAGATTTGGCAGTTTGTTGAGGTTCCAATTCTCGGTCCTATCGTCGAATAGCGTGCCCATCAGGTCAGCACCATATAGCGGTTGAGCATAGGTCAACGTTTTCCAATAGACTCGCTCCAATTCTTCGCAGCGTTCAGGCGTATAGTCGGAAATATCCATCCGGTAGTCGAATTCTTTGAACGCAGCTTCATCAATGACTGCAGATCCTTCGCGGCGGCTGTATTTTCGGCGTGCTGAAGTGGACTGAATCTTTGGCCTGCTGGGTTTAATTCCGCCCATTCTGCGGACCGTGGGCTGCTCATCGTCATCGTAATCTACCTCAGTGCCCAGTTCCTTTATTGGTTCGATAGACTCCATCACCTCGTCTGCTACTGCGCCATCAGCTTCGACTCTTGGGGACACCGGGGTCATGGGCCGGCTCTCTTCATCTCGTTTGGCCTTGCCCTTGTTTTTGGGCGGCCGTCCTCGTCCACGAGTCCTTGGCGTGGGAATGGGATTCGCAGCCTTGGGAGCAGCAGGGCGAGACCGCACGGGTTTGGGCTTATCCGCATTCGCGCGTCTCTCGCCACGCCGTGCAGGAGGCTGATGCTCGCTCTGTTCGCAAAGTTGTCTCCACTGCGGTATGTTGTAAGAGCGTCCATGGAGAATATTAACTTGGCGGTAAGTGCCGTTCGAACCCATGATGTCCTGTTTGATTGGCTCGCGGACTCGGACCTGCTTTACGAGATCGTCGAGTTGTGGCTGTGCATCTTTCCACTCCTTTGGCGGAATGACCTTGATAATACCAGACTTCATTCCATACTTGTCGACTTTTGTCATCTGTTTGGCCAAGGCCCAGCGGTTAGCGAACAGGGGTCAATTACGACTCGGGTGGCCGCCGACATACGAATCGCTTGAAATCCTTGAACTGCTCCATGGTCGGTTTGAATATGGGCACGTTGCCGGACGAGTAGTGGTCCGGCTCGATGTCACCAATGTCGTCCTCCTCAGCAGCGAGATCCGGGGGTAGCATCGGCGCATCCTCCAGCGGCGGCTCGTCCTCGAGGTCGCTCAGCTCCGAGTCGCTGGCCTCTGACTTGCCGGCATCGTTGCTATCCGGCGGCGAGTGCAAGAAGGCGGGCTGCAAGGGCACCTTGGCACATTCGATCTGGTCGTCGATGCCATCCCGCGTGTCGACAGGGAGAGACTCAGACGCTGGGACGGCTGCGGCGATGTCGTCGGTGGACATGGCGGGCGGTTTCAGCACGCAGCGTGCGGCTGGGCCATCGAGCGACCGGCAGGTGTCAAGCGCAGGCGCAATGCGACCAGGCAGGAGGATCGAGGATTTTGATTTTAATTATTGCGTGCCGAGTTCGTAGAGCGGCGCGCAGCGTGAAGATGCTGGGTGTGGGTGTGCGAGATGCGGTGGTGCGTGGGACAGGGAGTTGCGTCCACTGAACTCGTAGTCGTCGTCGTTTTTTGCGGAGAAATTCCTGGCGGGAGCCGAAGGGCTACGGCAGCGACCAGCCGCTGAAACACGCTGTACAGCGGATGCAGGCGGCTCTATGTAAGCGCTCAGTGGGCTCATAACACCTGAGCGTCAGGCCACTCGAGCGCTAAGTGCATGCACTGAGCAGGGATGCGGCCGATGGACTAGGCGGTCGGAGTGTGCATCCCTTATCTTGACGATTGGAGGCCCTAGTTGAGATGAGATCTGCTACCTGCTTTCTTTTACTACTAATTTTTGTAAGTTCCAAGATTCATATGTTCGACTTTCAAGAGTTGGAATACGCAGAGCCTCTTTTGCGGCAAAAAGAGCAGCAGCATCTGTTTGAGCGGAGCACGTGGCCAGCGCTGGCAAAGCCTGATTTTCGGCCTCCCAGATCAGCTGAACTCAAGGTCCAATGGCCTCGCGCTTTTAATGCAAGGGAAAAGCCAAAGAAGCTCGGATAAGTGGGCCCGAATCTGCGCCCCCACACAAACGAAAAGCTGTGAGGATGATCTTTTCTTGCTTCTTGTAGCATGCATTCTAGCATGCGCATGCTACCGTAGTATTGCAGTTTAGAAACTTGACCTGGAATGCGGAATAGCAAAGATTGCATTCTTGTGTTTCACTGCCCATATTAGCAGTACGAGAGATGCAGATAGGCGAGCAGGCAGAGAGTGACTACCTAGCAATATGTGCATGTGCTAACCTGGCCATCGATCTTGATACATGTAGCCTGGGAAGATGAATTGCCAAAATAGGGCAGCTTGGTAGAGTCTGCTTAACCTCAGGCAAAAGTGCATACCGCGCTTGACCAGATCAGGGAAATTTTGCAGATTGATAAGATCCTAGTCTAGAAGAAAATCTTGGTTGAAACTCGCAGATGGACTGGCACAACTTGGAAGCAAACAGCATGATAACCGCCATGGCAAGCTATAGCCGTCGCTGCTATTGGTTGTAAACAACTTTATGCACATAGAGGCTGACAGATGCATAATACAGAATCCGTGGCCTTGTCACCTCGAAGAGGAACATGTTTCCTCTAGTCTTACATCACCACTCATGAATGGCACTTAGTGGAAAAAAATACGCGTATCTAGGATGATTAACCATGCGCCGGGAAATTCATGAACAATCATAGCAAAGGGATATAAGCAAAGAAGTCTGAATCAAGGCAATGGAACCATGCTCATCCTTTAGTATATCTGTAGTTGCAGGGACGGAGCAATATGCACCAACTATTGCGTGGTGCGTACCACGGAATAGAGGCATCACAACCTGTGAACTCAAACATACAAGCAGGAATGCTTACTCTTCAAAGGATAAATAAAAGAAGAATTGGAAGATTGTTGTCAAAGAAATTCAAGATAATGACGATTGAAAAGGGAGATGCATGTGCTTTGTACATCGTAGCCCGACGCTTTCAGTTAGCCGCTGTTGTTAACAGGCTGGGAATCAACCCGCTCAAGCAAAGAAAAAGAATAAGAGAAAGCGCGAAAGAGCTTTGCCCTCGATAGCTAATTGAAATATTCGCATTGTAGTAAGAAAAAAAGGGAGACGGTTGGGAGGATGCAAGGCAAAAGCTGATTACTGCAGGCACCGCAACGCCTTCGGTGATGGAGACCAACTCGATGCATCAAAATCTGCTCCTTGAAGCACAGCTTAAGCGTTCAAATGCTAGCATGGCGACCAAGGCACACACCGCTGTGCGCTCTTGGATCGCCAATAGCGTTGACGGCGGCATTTATCTCTCGGTCACTTCATCCTTGAGAAAAGCGACCAACGATGACTATAAAGACCCGTCGACTAGAGAGATCCTCAAAGGCCTGAAGCAGATGCTCCCTCCGAGCGAAACAAGCATAATAACCGCCGTCAGATACGCTTACAAGAACACTCTCGCCGAAGCATATAATTCAGGCGTAGACCCTCAATCTTGGTTCACCCGCTGGGCATCGGCTTATGCAAGAGCTCTTGAATTCAAAATCGCCGAGATCCAAGGTACAATCGCAATAAAGGACTTAAGCGCTGTGGGAGCAAGATTCACTCCAAGCTGGGCTTAGGTTGCAAAAAACGAGCTCTCTCTCAAGGAAATGGCTGAAACACCTCAAATCGCAACACTTCAACAGTACGGAGCCCAATTCAGGGTCATCCTTGAAGATGAGGTCATTACCAAGAAGAACGGGATGTATGCCACTCTTGGGGGGCGCTCGGATGACCAAAATAGCGAACGCTAAGGCAATTCAAGCTCTTGAATGTACTTTTGCCCCAGCAAAGATAAGCGCGAACCCCATCATAGGTGGCCTCCTGCACAATGTCGAAGACTAGAATACGCCCTCACCGGGAAGCTGCGCGAACCAATGCGTAAAGCTCTCTCAGAAACGACTGTCAAGACCATTCGTGAGCGCTACTAATTAAATGAGTGGAAGTTGTTGCGCTTAAAGAACCCTTTCCAAGCATCTGAGCAAGAAACAAGCCAACCGGGATACCCTATGAACGTCATCGCAGCCGTTATAGATCCTGAAGTTTTTCCTGACTACGGCAAGCATCCAGGGGTGTATTCCACGCTCTCGAATAGCTGCCATCCGCTCTCTATGAGCACTCTATTGGATAGCTGCGGCGCTGTACACCTCGTTAATGACGTTGGCCTCCTTGAACCGGGGACCTTTGTGCCAAGCACAAAAGACGAGCGTGTGGAGGCGGGGACAACGTTCTTTCCGATTATAGGAAAGGGCACTAGAGTGCTCAGGAACTGACTTAAAGGAAAAGGAGATAATATAGCTGTTGATCTTGTCCTTAAGGATGAGGCTGTTGTTGAAGGATTTCACGTCAACATCGTCTCAGAGGCTCGATTACGCAAATCCAACGCATGGTATTCAGGCTTTGATTGCTCCCTGTGTTTTGGTCCGCCATCTAGAGGCTTAGTGTTAGCAATGCTAGTGCGAGAATACCACTTACTTTTTATTTAATATAATCCCATATTCTCTCGGTTTTTATCCGCCGAGACAATGAGAAGGCAGTTATTGCAATAAAAGGCGAGACCCTATTTCAAAGGGAGACAGCGCATAAAGGCCTTGTTCTTAAGCTCGCTCCACTATATACACATCAATTAAATGGAGGAGCCGAGCGCGCCAATAAGGAGATAATAAGCAAGTCTATTGAGATGCTCTCTGGAGCGAATTTGCCTGAGAAGCTATGAACTGAGAGCGCTGTTGCAGCCGCTTTTTTGCATAATATGAGCCCTTCAAAGGCCAACAGGATGCTCTCCCCAATAGATCGATTGGAGCGCTGGTTCAAGCACCATGCCCCTCTGCTGATCCGAGCACATGGAGCGGATTTGAGGCCGGATTGGAGCGGCGTCTATGCATACGGATGCCGTGCGTATGCGTTGAAAAGAGACCGCGAGGACAACCGCAACACAAGATCATTCAAAATAAGCCCCAGAGGCCTTATAGGATATCTTGTTGGTTATTCTGCTTCTAACATATATCATATATGGATTCCTTGACTCAACAGGGTCCTAAAGACAAGGAATGTTAAGTTTAATGAGACTATCTTCAAACCCGAAGAGCTGAGCTTACTAGAGCACAGCGAACGGACTATGAACGAGCTCTTTGATGAAATCGAGCAGGAAGAAGATATTGAAGTGTCAAACTTGCTTTCACACTTGTATCTGCACAACTATGATAACCCTGAAGATGAAGAGACCTCAGAGCGCACAAGCTGGGGGGTGGAACCGCAGCAGAGCACACGATCAGACTTGGAAAGCTCTCTGCAAGCGGAAAAAAAGCTTGCGCCTGAAGGCCTCAACACGCCCCGTATTAAACCAGAGAGAAACCCGGACAGCGCACCAGACCTGGGACGCGAGTATGCTCTCCCACGCTCTCGGAGTGCTAGTTTTGAGCGCCCCGGAGCAGAGGAACAACCATCAGAGCCGCTAGGAATTCAGCCTCCTGGAGAAGAGATGACCGATGATCCTCAACGGCTGGGATTAGATGAAATCGAGCAGAGTCAGCACCAACAAGAAGCTCTAGAAGCAGCCGAATCCACTGAGGGAACGCTGCTGAAGAGAGTGACGGCAACAGCAGAAAGTCACCCGTCGAAGAAGATCAGGCAATGGAAGAAGTAGAAAAACCTGTCACCATTCATGGCAGCCCTAGTCAAGCGCGCCGAGGAGCTCGAACGAACGAACCAACAGCTCCAACGCGTAGAAGTGCAAGTTTAAGAGGAGAGGAAGTCACAAGAGCTGTGAACGACTACTCTCCTGACCGCAGGCGAAATATTAGGAGGGTGGTAAGAGACAACGGCAATTACGCTGTAATTACAGGCCTTTTCAACCCGATCTTCAACAAGGATCAGTCTGATCAACTGGACCTATATGATAATGCGTTGACAAGCTGTAAGACCGTATTCGCGACGCTCAACGGAGCATTTGAGCAGAAGCATGCGAAAAGACTAGGTGCGGCGCCAGGAAAGCCTAGAGTTCACTTTGACGACCTGGCCAAGCCGCCAAATGGATGGAAAGAAATGTTGAAACACCCTTTGAGAGCTCGATTTGAAGAAGCCGCGCAAGTTAAGATAGATACCTTGCGTGCAAAGGGAATTTGGAGAGAGATACCTTGGAACCAAGCTCGTTTAAGGCCACTTCCAACGAGGTGGGTATTTATGTATAAATTCGATTAAAACGGGTTTCTAGAACGTTGCCTAGAACGTTGCAAGGCAAGACTTGTGGTCAGGGGCGATCTGCAAGATCAATCAACGATCGATAGCACCTATGCTGCAACGCTCGCCGCGCGTTCATTCCGTGTTTTGGTTGCTCTAGTTGCGAGATCCGATCTTGAACTTAAGCAATATGACGTTAAAAGTGCTTTTCTCAACGCATCAAGGAACGAAGAAGGGATCCCAGTCACGGTGCAGATGCCTGAGGGATTCCCGCTTCTGAATATGTGCCTTGAGCTCGGCAAAGCGTTATATGGGCGCTGGGACTCGCCACAGTTGTGGTTTAACGAATTATCCTCCACTTTGAGGAAGTTGGGTATGGAGGCGTGCCTAGAAGAGCCCTGCCTCTTCTACACCGCCAACAGGAAGGCTTTCCTAGAATTCCACGTTGATGACATCCTTATAGCGTACCACAGGGACGATGTTGCTCTATTTGAAAGAATCGAGCAAGGCTTAGAGCAAAAATACGAGCTGACGAAGGGCGGCGACGCAGAATGGTTCCTCGGGATTAAGCTTATTCGCAAGCGCGCCGAGCGCCTGATATACCTCTCGCATGATAGATATCTCGAGAAAGGAGCACAACAGTTCGATTTGGCTGAGGATGACTGGAATCCAGTTATTCCTATTCCTGTAAAAGAATATAGGAAGAACCCCGTTATAGCTACTGCTCAAGAGGTCAAATTGCATTAGAAGAAGATTAGTTCTGTGCTCTATGCCGCAATTATGCTACGACCAGATGCGGCATTTGCTGCCTTGTTACTATTAAGATTCCTGACGAATCCAGGAAAAGAGCATCACAAGGCTGCTGATGAGCTCGTCCGCTATCTTTATGTGTGGAGGCACCTCGCTATCCAATATGGGGGGAGCGGAGAAATGACTGTTTTAACAGCCTTGAGTGATGCCTCTTTTGGTGATGACTATGAGACCCGAAGGTCCTCACAGGGTTATTTGATAAATTTGTACGGAGGGTCGGTCTTATGGAATGCAATGAGGCAGGCCACTTTTAGCACGAGCACAATAGAGGCTGAGCTGATCGCTTTAGGTAATGCAGCGCGTGAGACTATCGGTCTCAGGCGCCTCTTTCATCAAATAAAGTTCGAACCTGGGGTCAATTGGAACATCAATGTGACAATCAACAGACGATCCGCTTAGTGCTCGATGAGAGCACCCGAATCAACACCAGGCTGCGCCATGTTGACATACAGAGCATGTGGCCAAGGCAGGAATACAAGCACGGCAAGATAGGGGTATCTTATGTGCATACGCTTGAAATGCCTGCTGACGCGCTCACAAAAGCACTACCTCATCAACGCTTTGAGCACTTTAGAGAACAAATGAACTTAGCATCTCTAGACTCAAAGAGAGCACATGATAAATGATCACAAGCGAAGGAGAGCATTGTGAGGCAATTCAGAAGAGAGGGCGCGCCGGCTAATCTGATTCAAATAAAAACAACAACAAAAAAACAATGCCTGAGGCGGCCAGCGCCTAATCACGGAAAATATATGCCTCCACGGTCTTCCAAGCTTCACGGGCTGCGGCCCGGGGGTCTGCCTGAGGCGCCGTTTGCGCCAATTCGGGGCGTCTTCCTCTATCATCTCCAGCATCAGCCGGAGGGCAGCACGGCAGCGAGTGATTGTCTGCTTGATTGTCCGTTACCGAGCACACGAATGGGATTCAGGGGCTCCTTGAGGAGATACTTACAGGTCGGTCTCGGTCAGAGACCGCACGGATAAAACGCCGGTCCAAAGTGCTCTTTCGACCCGACATAACGGCCTTTACGCAGCCAAGGCAGGGGGGTTCCCAAATAACAGGCCCGGGGGCCCAGGAGGCATTGCAGCCAAAGCTGTAGCAGCTATAGCAGCAGCAGCAGCAGCCGCAATTGGCCTGGCCGGGGCACTGCCATCAGGGGGCGCCGGAGGCGTATTTGACGAAGAGGCGGCGGCGTTGGTTCTTCGCGGCCGAGCATTCGGAAGTGGTTTTCTGGGCTTAGCAGCCCCGGTCGTCTTCTTGGCTTTCTATTACTTGTTAGAGCGTTCGAGGACTGATCAAGAGCTCTAATTGAAGCTATCGCGAAGTACTAACCGTCACCTTGGAGGCTTTGCTGCCGCTAGCGGCAGGAGTCTTGACCTTCTTGGGAGGCATGATGACGATGATGACGATGATGACGATGATTACTGAGGAATCACGAGTATGATCGAAGGTTTGAGGCTCCTTTATGGGATTCCGAGCATCTCAATTAGGCTTCACAAGCGCGATTGTTACTCTATTGTTCAGCCATTGTTGAATAGGTCATCTTTTCACTTCACCGTGACTACACTACGAGTTTCCTTTTTACTAATTATAGCACAACAAAGCACACAAAGAGGGTCTTTATGATCGGATCAAGCACAAGAAAAGGCCCGGGAGGCTCAAAGGATTGAAACACCATAGGTTTGTTAATTAGTTAAAGAAGCTGCTTCGAGATAGCTTCTCTTTGACTGGGGAGTGTGACGATATGTATCCTCAAACAGTAGTAGTCGGCGTCTTTTGCCTTGTTCAATGACTAACTCTGTGTGGGCCTCAAGCGCACATAACTATCGCCGAGCGCGTCTTTCCCTTTGTAACAATACAAGGCTATTTTGAATGACCCTTCGAACGCTCGGAGCCCCGTGACCGCGCGTAGTATCACAATGGGCTTGCCAAGAGGATGGGTATGCCTGACCACTCAACACTTCCCCCAAAGCCTAATTAATCATCCAAAACGAGGCTTGTCGTGGGGCAGGCGATGAAGGGAGGATCAGATTCTAATCTCGCAGCGTGGTCTACGACGTGGAACGTAGGGCACGCAACAAGGAGATCAAAGAGGCTTGATCTAGGAGCGTAGGGGCCATACAGTCCCCAACCAGGACTCAGAATCTCTTACCTTCTGGGGAGGATATGAGGGTATACGCTCCCTAACAAGGCTACCACGGGCTTTGTCCCATCAAAAGCTGCTAAATCATGCCAATCCTCCGCTCTCGTATGATTTCAATCCTCCAACAGGGGCTCCATCTGCTTCCTTCTAACTATTCCACATCCGTTGAACTCCAATCATAGTTCTAATGTCTTCCCGGCCACCTTCTCCAAGGCCTTACTTTCTTTGTATTCTTTGGTCCGATTGTCGTCTTCCCAGATGCCTTGGCCTTCCTCCTTGCTTCCACAGCCTTGTGGTTTTCCCGGATACCTACCAAGCTGGCAACTGTGGGAGGAAGAGAAAGTGTTCAATTTGGGCAGTCTTCGTCTTGCGGGCATATATATCTTCTGCAGTTGCCGGTACTTGGGGTCTTTGATCTGTGGGTGGAAAGGGCTTGTTGTTCCTCAATCTCAATGGAGTGATGTACGGGCGTGCTACACGTTGGACGCGTTGTTTTGTTATTTTTTCGGCCGGTGGTGTTGGGCTGGATAATGTCCAGCGAGTGGCTGGAGCTATAAGTTTCTCGATCTCGATTGACTTGGATGTCTGCAGTGAGGCCTTTGGAATCCTTCCCGTTTAGTTATCGCGGCAGTGCGGCATTTCGCTCCCTTGTTTGCATCGGGCTTCCGTTTCGGAGGTGTTTCTCACGATCGTAGTTCGCCACGAAGGTTGTGGGGTGAACTTTTCTGTTTGCGGTGTTTGATCGTGGTGTCGTCTGTAATTGCTACCATATCTCGAATCACGGGAATCCGTGTGGTATTCCTGGCTGGGACTCTCGGCAGGTTAATAAGAATATAATATCTTATATACCTACTAAAGATTTCAGTCATATAACCTCAACCAACAAGGTAACTTCAAATGACCCTGCTGACCTTAATCAAATCGGCCGACACTGATTAAGCAAATTAAGCAAATTAAGCAAAATGGCCGCTATTAAACAAGGCGGCCTTGATCAAACGAGGTGATTTCGAACGATCCTGTTGATCTTGACCAAATCGGCTGACAACGATCAAACAAGGGGGGCACGACCAAACAAGGTGAGCAGCTTTGCTTGCCCATATGAACGCTTCCAGCGGGCATCAGACTTTTTTTTTTTTTTTTTTTTTTTTTTTTTTTTTTTGCAGTAGTTGTTTTCCACTTCCTCGTGGTTTTGACAAGCGGTTGTCTTCCACTCTTTTCCTTTATATCCTTGTCACTTCCTTAATGGTCCTCTTTTACTTTCCAGCGTGTTAAGCTTTTCTTCGTCTTCGTCTTCTTTTTCTTCTTCTCCTTCTCCTTCTTCACGGTCGAAATCGCGGTCGCGCGTCGCGGTAGCGCAAAGGCTCATTACCTGACAAGGATGTAAAGAAAGATTACATTGAAATGACTGGGATTTTCGAAAAGAGAGAAGGGAAAATACTGTACTCTAAAAGCAAGACCAACAAAAAGAACAACAAAGTGTAGTCCAAATAGGGTAGATCTGCCCGACTAGTCAACAGTGACAAAGTATATACATTTGTCAAGACGATTGATTTCACTTGTTGGTCACTGATATGTAGAGTCAGTGGTGCTTCTTCTATTGACAGCAGCTCGGACAGATTTACGCGCGCGTATCACTGGTCAAACACTGCCTCAGTTAAAAGTACTAAAAAATATCTATTCAACTGGTTTCTATACTTACTACAGTTTCCTTTGCCAAGATCCTTGACATTCTACTCCTAGTAAGGGTGCAGTTGCAAGAGGCCATCACCGCGGATAAAGAGAAGAAACAACTGGCAAATACTAGGATTTGGGAAGAATTGCATCGCAACGAACTTCAGCGAGGAAAATATGTCCTCATAGGAGATAGTAGTAAGAGCGTGTGAGCAAATGAATCTGTTACATATTTACATCTATTCAGTGGCAAGATGGAAGCGAAATCAGGCGCTTCACGTTAAGCTCAAGCTGGGAATGCCGCGCTGCTCCAAGGCCACGCGCCTCAACATGAAAATCTCACCGCTATGTTTCACAAATCTTCACAATTTCCTGACATCTCAATGCGCTTAGGCATTAGATTTTCGTCAAAAGCACTGATTGCATCGATATACCTCTCCTCCCTCAGTAAATAGGTGAGAAATCTCGTACCTACGGGCAATGTATGCAGGGCTCGTGGCAGGCCGTCGGGCCCTAGGCGTGCAGGAATATCCTCGTCCTGGCAGAGCAGCAGCCGTGCTGGTAAGTAGCTCAAACCATCGCTCCCTCATAGAACTACACCCCAGTATGCTAATGCAACATAGGCGCCGGGAAGCAGAGTTCCCGCGGGCGGTCAGACTGCAGTAGACCAGCTCCAGAAGTGGCAGAGATACCTCCGGTACCCTCGCCTTCTCCCAGAGGATGGAGGTTATGTGGGTTGGCAGATTGCATTCCAGGCGGCAGCAGGCACGCTTTATGACCTTCTCGTCATTGGAGGCCAAGCCCAAGGAGTTATCGACGCACTGCAGCAGCGTTTCCCTCATGGGGGGGGATGATGTTTAGTATGTGGAAGCCGAGGCGTATGCTGATACCGAAGAGAATAGATCTACTAGATCTATGAGATAGAGTGTAACCACCGAAGAACTGATCTTGATATTCCGGGAAGGCCTGGCGCAGGCGACTATCAATCCAGCTGAGTGTGCGTAGCCCAATCATTGACTTCTCGTCAATAATAATGTAACGAACGTGTTGGAGCTTGGCCTGTAAAGCTGACAGATCTAATGGCGACAGGGCGTTAACATCTCCGAGGGTCTTAGAGACAGGGAGGTGAAGAAGAGAGTGTATTATCACCCCATTGATAGCATTAGCGGCAACGCCTGTTGGGGCGGCCTTAACCAGCGCGCCTGGTAGTAACTGTAATAAATGGAGGGTTATTGCGTGGATTAGGAAGGATTTGCCGGTGCTTCCCTTGCCGTCAATATTCAATAATAGCTGGGGCGGCCGCTCGGCGGTGAGATCAAGAGCCTGCTCAAGGTGGTTGACAATGAGGTTAAATGCAAGCCGATGGTGAGAATTTAGACGGGTCAAATATGCTATTAGAAGAGTTGAACTTGTCATCGAGATTGTAGCTCTCACGGCACTGCTTCCAATAATCTGTTCTCGCAAGTAGATCCGGGTACTTGCCGATATGAGGGGACTAGTCGAACAGGATGTCAATATCGCGGTTGCCGAGCAGCTCGATATCCTCTGTATCAGCGTCACGTTGGGGCAGCTGTGCCGCAAGCTGCTCCCAGTCATCAGGCTCTATATCTTCTTCAAGGGGGCCAGGTTCAAAGAGATCATCATCCGGCGCTGGTAGGTCACAGTAGTAGTCCTCTGGGTGAACATTAGCATAAACCTCCCGACAGTGGGCACAAGCCTCTGCATATGTGTCAAAGGGGGTGTCCTCGACAACCTTAACATCACCAACAGAGGAATGTGGGTGATGTAGGGCCAGCTTAACACAGCAGAAGTCCTCGAAGTTGGGATGGTCCTTGTAAGGCTTATATCGCGGGAAATAATTAAGAACGCGATCAGGAGCACTATAGTAGTGCCAGGGAAGTCGTGAATAATTAACCTTTGTTAGGAAATCAAAATAGCTGAGTTGAACCCATTCTTGGCTGCGGCCGAGGTACTTCTGATAAATAGACTGCCCTGGTCGAATCTCACCGCCTATAACAGTGTCGCGAATGTGATCTTGCAGCATAGGCCGGCAATCGACGTTCTGAACGACTCGGGAGCTCACTTGTAGCGGCAGGTTCAACAGCAAGTGGGAAAGCTCCATGGCTGACCAGTCGCGCTTAGCAACCAGTTTGTTCATAAAGCGGGCCACGAAACTGGTCAGGGCACGCCCGCTGGTGACGCGTGGGAGGATCTCCTTCGCTATGTCGCTGTAGCTCTGAGTTCTGGGTTCGGCCTTGCTGCAGTACTTGGCTATATAGCTGATGACAGCATGGGTTAAGGTACAGGGCGAGATATCATGGTTTGCCCTCCACCTAAGGGCAACGGAGCGGTTGTAGCTGTTGAGAAAGGAGTCATTGCAAACGCCGTCGAAGATTAGGTACTGGGGGTTAATGGTGAACGTAACGTGCGGCCTGCTATGGCTTGTGCGAGGAAAGAAGAAACGGCAGGACTTGTCCTCTGAAACCTGACCGTTTGGAAGGCGGCGGCGGCGAAGACAATAAGCTTCAGTGCATTTGTGACGCTGGGCCCTATTAACAATCTCAGACAGCATATGGAATGTCGGAGGGTGCTCTTTATAGGATGTTAGGGGGTCACCTTCGCCCCGAGGCCCAGTGCGGCCAGGCTCTGGGTTAAAGGCAGTAGAATAAGCACCCCAATAATTCGAGAAGTCATCCTGAGCCTACTCTGTACGAAGGTCTAGCGACAGGGCGTTTGAGACCCAGAATAGAGCGTGAGCATGAGTGCTCCCCACGCGCCTGCCACTCGTAACGGAACCAATAGTCTGTGATGCTGAACCTCTTTTGGAGGAAAGAGCTAAGGGGCTTGGCCGGGGTGGTCACCTGCTGTTCGATGACCCGAGGAGTAGTTGCCGCTTCGGAAGGGGCGGTGGCCTGAGCAGGCGGCTGTAGAATCTCTCTCGTCGCGGATCGAGTGGCAATGCGCATTGGAGTAGTGTGCTCGGTGGTAGTGGTACCGTTGGCAACATCCGTCTGAACAGGAGTCTTCAGCTTGGAAACGGTGACGACGCCCTCAATGACGGCATCGACAGCATCAAGCACCTTGTTGTCCTTGGACCATCCAAGCTCAGCTTGCTTAATCATCAGACAAGCAACACCCTTGGAATGCATGGCGTACAGCTCAAACAACGTGGGCTCGTCTATATCCCCAGGCTGTAAATCGCTGATGAAAGTGGTATGCGGCAATGTGTGGGTTATCCCGGAGGTTTGCGGCGGCAATTGCAATCTTTGCTTTAGCATTAGCAGCAGCAAGCCAATCGCTATATCTTGGGAGGTGCTTCTGCAGGCTCTGCTAATGCATATCAGCGGCGGAGAACGTTATAAAGACCCTAGGACACCCTAGGGCTTGGACGTGAGCCTCAAGCTGATTTCGTCGGCCTTCCCAGAATGCCCTTGTGCCGCGAAGGGATGCTGAATGACGGACAACCTTATTAAGTAACGCACAAGACTCTGGCATGTCATCATTAAAGGCTGCCCGGAGCTGCTCAACGTTAACCGGGACGGATTGCCCGCCGCTCCTCTTAACGAAGAAGCTGCTCCTTGAGTTGACTTGGCTTCGCATTAGTGTGTTGAAAACGGTGTAGCGGAAGCGCGGATGGCGAGCGAAGCGCCCGTCGTGCCATTTCATCGCGTGCTCGATATACCGACTGTAAGTTATCGACCGCTGCCTTGGTGCTATGAAATCGGCCTCTCCCCTGGGGTAAAGTGTTGGGAACGCGAGCGAAAGCAGCGCCTGCGAGCGGTTGAACTCGCTAAGAGGCGTTGACCGGATGGCAGGCATCTCTATATAAGGCCGCTGGGTGCCCGGCACAACGGGAACATGGCCAGGCTGAGACTGCGGTTGGCTTCCAAGCAGGGAGCGAAACGCATTTATATCCTGCTGTTTAGCGACAAAATTAGGCACAGCAGCCTGCTCAATGTCGCCCTCGTCAGCAATCTCGCCGCTGGGTACATCCTCAATGTCAACCTCTTCAACCAGTTCAACCAAGAGCTAATCGCCAACATCAGCGTCATGTGGTAGCTGGCTAAGCCAGTCCTCTTGTATTATAATATTAGAGTAGCCGGGGTAATTGAGCCTAAGGAATTCAAGCCAAAAGCAAACATGCCCCTGCCTCACGCGGAACTGGCCTCTAAACTGCCTAACCATATGCAGCTGGTCAGTCGAGTTCCGGGGCCAAAGTATAATAATATCAAGCTCCTAAGGCAGACGGGGAAGCTATGTATATATACTCCCAGTATCGCGCAGGAAGTTAATAACATAGCCTCAGTACCTATACTGCTCCCCCCTGTATTAGAAGACCTGTACGTGGACGTGTACCCGGGCAATGAGCATCTCTTCCACCTGGGATAGCTCAGGAAGTGACGACGGCACCTAGCCGAAATCAAGATTGTTCTCCCTGGAGAAGAAGAAGAAGGGCTCGTCCAGCATCTTCTTGCTGTCAACATAGGTGCAAGCGCGGCAAACCCCCTTGCGCATATTCATGTTGAACCAACGTTGTTGACAGCGAGGGCATTTCTCCATCTGATGACCGTCTAAGGCCTCTTGCCAACCATCAAGGAGCCGCCGGTCAGCGGTCGAGATGGCAATGGCAGATAGATCGCCGGCGAACTCGGGGTTAATGGAGGCAGGTTCCCCGCCCTGCTCGTGCTCTATTGTAGGATTTCCGCGAGAGGAATACCGCTGAGGACGCCTGCTATCTGAGAGGATGAGGGTGACGGTGCTTGTGACGACGATGGGGTTTGTGATGATGATTCCGTAGGCCGCTGTGTGCGGCAGAAAACACAATTTGACTGCTCTCGGCCGCTTAATGAGAAGAAGGATGCGCGGCTGAAGACGTTGTGGCATTTCAAGCAGACCTGCCGCTCGTCGACTTCGCCCTCGCTGCCACTATCGCCATCCTCGTTGGGTTCAAGGGCGCAGTACGTGCAAATGCCATCAGGGTACTGATCAGCCAGCATTCTAGCTATACCACACCCCACGCAAATGAAGAACGAGGGACCATCGTCCATAGGGGGGGGGGGGGGGGCAATAGGGCAGCGAACGGAACGACCACCGAGCTCTCCTTTCTTTCACTACGCGGGGCTCTTCCGATCTTACACGACGCTCTTCCGATCTGGGGGGGGCAATAGGGCATCGAGCTGCGAGCTCGGGGCTGACTGAGAGCTAGAGGGTTGAGGCAATAGATCAGCGGTCAGTGGCGTGGGGAAGGTTCTTCGCCGGCACGCCGTCTCAAGCGATGTTCTCGCCTAATAATAACCTACTGGGCGTGGGCTGCAGCGTGGCCGGGGCTATCCTGCGATCGAACGCTGCGCGGATAGAACCTTGGGGGCCGAGTTGGCGTTTGGGGGGGGTTGGGGGCAAATAGGGCAACTCTGCATTTATTGGAGCAGCAGGGGGTCTAGGCAATACAGGCTGGAGCCGCTGGGGTGTAATGACAGAGCTTGGGCTTTGTTTTCGAGAGGCAGAAGTCTCATTGTGACGCTGGCGTTGGTTCGCAGCCTATATGTAATTAACACGTTTTCATTGTTGAAGCTTTAGAAGGAAAAGCTTACTAATTGCTCCCCGCGGCAAGCCAAGCATAGTTGAACGCGGCGATTTGGATTCCGGATCCCAATGAAGTCGGATTCGGGCTTCTGTTGCTTGCACCGAACGCACTGCTGCATAGGCTCGTCATCCGGGGGTTCTTGGGGCTCACCTGGGGGGCGGCAATGGCGGACGCAGAGGAGGCAGCATTGATGCCATCCTGACTGCGAGGTAGAGCTTGGCCAAATCGATAACTGAGACTAACTGCGCCGTGAGCTGCAAAGGATTGGTCTACCGCGCACCGCAGTTTAGAAGTGGATTATCCGTATGCAGGGACAGAGGGCGGCTGACAACTCTCTGAAAAGGCGAAGCTCTAGTGGCACATCAGGATAGCTCTTCAAGGCTGATCTCTCCACGGCAGGTATTCTAGTGAAAGGGAGGGAACGGGGGGGAGGTCGGCGGTCTTTGCGTCGTTTATCCTGGGCTGGGACGCGATCGGTGGTCTCGACGGTCTTCTTATTGTGTTCTCAAAGATCGGTGATCTCAACGTTTTTCTTCTCAGGGAGCACGGTCGGTGGGCTCAACGTTTCCCTTCTCGGGGAGCACAGTCGGTGGGCTCTCCCGATTATCGGCGAGGAAATAGCAAGGAGGGCTACACAAACGTCAGCTATTGCATCTTCAAAAGACGATACTGAAGACCCTGATCCACCAAACGGAGACATGTAGCTGAAGAGGCCGGGCATAAGCGAAGAGAGATAAAAAAAACCTAGGAAAGAGAGGTTAGTAAAAGGATAGAACGGAAAGTGGAGGAAATAGAGGAAACAGAGGCGAAGGGGGCGGATTTCGCCCACAAGCACATACAACCTTTACCAAAGCGCCAGATCCTCTAGATGGCATCCAGTCACGCGCCTCTGATAAATTCCTAACGCAGGCGTAAATTGAAGGAACAGGAAGTCGTTGACAGCAGCGATTTTGGCGATTTTGGCGATTTCGGCGTTTTCGTTGATTTCTAGCTACGGATTTCAGGTGCGGGTTTCAGATAATCGATAAAGCGACGCAAAAGTGATGTGGGCACACGAGAGCGGGAAAAGCTTCGGCAAAACGGAAAAGGCATGGCTAAAGTCAGGAAGAATATCGGGCAGTTACAGCCTAGCCTTCTAATTGGTCAGAAAAGGTGGATCAAAATTCTAGCCAGTTGAAGTTCGTTATTTCTAGCTGTGGCGTCGAATTGTGGTGGCTTAGCTTTCGTTAATAGCTTAAATAGCTTAGCTGTAGCTAATGCTCTCCACTTCGTGTGCTCACATTACTAATCAGCTGCGTGGAGAAATAATTGATTGAGAAATCTACGATTGCAAATGTCTTGTAATATTGCGAGATTTCCGTTTTGCAGGTTAAGTCATGACTTTTAAAGTGGGATATATATTAGTTTGTCACAGATAGTGATTATGCGACTGATATTGCGTCCATTATAAGTCCTCTAGCTTTTGAACAGCCAGGCCAGTATATAGATGCCCAGGAGAGCCTGTACCTTGCACAGAAAATCTCAATTTTAAACTAAGTCTCTTTATTACTATATTTTCTTTTCTTTTTTTCTAAATTAAATCACAAGATGGATGTAGTTCAATGACATCTAACCCAAAAAAGATCTAGACGCAATCTTTGCTTTTATAGTATAACTTAAATTATAATCTGCTAAAAAACTCATTCTAGGGTTCTATGGTCTAATGGTTATGACTGCGGATTCTGATTCCGCCAGCGAGGGTTCGATTCCCTCTAGAACCTGCTTTTTGCCTATTTCTTCTCCTTTTTCTCTTTTCCCTTCTAGGTTCAAAATTAAATGAATGCATATACTGCTAGTAGTGTTTTAATATCTTTTTCTCTTTTTTTCTTTCTAGACCACACGACCCGCTTTTAGTTGTTTTGCAGTTGTCGAAAATTGACATATAAAGGTAGTGACTGCGCCGAAAAACAAGGTGGGGAGTTGTGCGGGGCCAACTGTACCACCTACCAAGAGCAGCAAGGATGGAATTGTGAGCTTCTCTGATGAAATTGTGTTGTGTACTGAATTAAATCGGCTGCTGACATTGATTGTGCTATTTTCGATGCTGCGATGAAATGTCGAGATGATGGAGATATCTGTTGGGGCGTGCCTCTGCCAACGTGAAGTTTCACATATACCTACCTACCGCTCACACCACGCACAAGAGATAGACCATGCAGCTCTCGAATAAAGCCATTTGCTTGTAAACCCTTCACCATTGAAATTACCTTGCGAGTACCTTTAAAGCTGAAAAAGTCAAATAAGTCATGGTTAAGCTTTTCCATCTCAAGGCCTGACGTGACGTCACCAAAGGACGCTCGCCATTGACTCTCGTCATGGGCGTCAAAGTTGAATCTACCACTCCACTAGTCGCAGAGCTTGGCCGCAAGCATCCAACACCAACACAACCACAGGATCGGAAGTATGGGACGCAATTAAGCTTCAGGCAAGCTCGTTGAGCTCACGCTTCGAGTGCCTGTCACATTGCCCCTCACCTCCACCAGACAACGTTTAGACCTTGCTGCTACTCCCGTGTCGTCCGCCAAAATGGGCGGATGCTGCCGCAAGAAGCTGCTCCAGGATTCGCCATGAGCCATCCAAGAGTGGATTTGGCTTCAGTTCTAAGCTGCTTCTATCGCAGCAGCTCCGCTAGCCTCGTGCGGTTTAATTGTGATTGATGCGCTATTTGGTCCTTCTCCCAGGGATTGCTCGGTAACGCATGTGCCCGTGCGGGTGTCAACATGTCAACTCTGACTACACCATTCGATGGGTGGCTGACCTGTTCTTCACGACAATTGGTAAACTGGAATTCCAAGCTCTTATCCGGCCGGAATCTCTGGCAGCCTCCTAGGCTAGATATCCTTTGGCCAGTCCCATCTCCCATGGCTACGATCATTCTGGCTGACATGGGACTTTCCTCTCTTTTCCAACTATCCACTTACACGTTCGCTTAGAAGCAGCTTCTTCTTGTGCTGCATCTTATTTTGAAGAGCTACACTTTCGCTTGATGACATAGAGCTAAGCTACCCATAGACAGTACAGCAATATGGCCTCTCGTTCAAGCTACGGCCTCTTTTGGCCTATGAATGCTCCAATTCTGTCAATCTTGCTTTCAATGATGCTGCTGTGTCTCAGTGTCTCGGCGCAGGCCGGGGTCAATCTCAACGCCAAAGTTTGGGCAGCCGTTGCATATATCAACCATGGAGAAAAGACTCCTACTTTCGGCGGCTTGGACAACATCCTCACACCCACAGGAGCTCGTCAAATGTGGAGGCAAGGAAGTGCTTTCCGACACCGCTACCTGGGCAGTCGCAATTCCACTACGTTTTCCAACTCAACGGGGAACACAAAGATTCAGGGAATAGCTACGGATGCCATCAATAATGATCAGCTCACCGTCTTGTCGCAGACAGATGAATGGGTTTCTGGGGGTGCCATGGCTTTCCTCCAAGGCTTGTATCCTCCTAGTCCCAACTCTTTCAACAGCTTTGCTGGGGGTCGACAGGTGGCTCAAGATCTCCTTGTTAGCCCAGAGCTGACTGACTATCCTTTGGGAGGTTATCAGTATCCCAATATTGAGACACTGCCACCGTCTGACCCTTCCTCAGTTGTGTGAGTAACCTAAATATTCGAAGGTGATGACCTTTTATACACGCTAACACAGTCTTAACATAGCATCCAAGGGTCTGCCCAATGCTGGGCTTGGGATAGCAACGTACGCGCGATAAAGCTGGACGATCCTATGGGACGCTTTAGGTCAACTCAGAGTTTCTACAAGTCCCTCTTTGCTACACCTCCTCTCAAAGGCACCATACCCAACGCCTCAGTGAATTACTGGAACGCTTATGACATATACGAGTATGTAAATTACATGAATACTCACAATGCAACTGTCACTGCCGGGTTAGGATTCGCCAACCAAACCATCGACATACTCAGAGCCAATGCCTTTGAATTGGAGCGTACTAAGAATGGTGACATTTTGAAGGATAATCCAACATTCACCTACAACAACGTTTCTACCATTGCTGGACAGACCCTTGCTATGCAGATTGCAAGCTCGCTCAGTGCTACCAGCATAGGAGTTGGCACACCGCTGACACTCATGTTTGGTTCTCACGAGCCCATGCTGGCCTTCTTCTCCCTCATAGGCCTCTACACTGAAGATAACCTGCTCTCTGGTCCATTTTCCACGCTCCCAAATCCTGGCTCGGCCATGATCTTCGAATTAATCGGCTCAAACCCAGGCGACGTTGAATCAATGCCTTCGCCTCAGGATTTCATGCTTCGCTTCTCATATCGAGCTAATGCCGATCTTGGCGAGCCGTTTTCAGCCTATCCCCTCACTTCGATGGGCTTTGAAAGCCAGATGATTCCTTATACCTCCTTCTTGGCTCAGCTTCAGAATTTCACCCAGGACTCTGTGCAATGGTGCACCACTTGTATAGCAGTCTTTGCTCCTTGGTGCAACATAGGCGCCGGCGAGTCTCCCTCAGATCCTCCCTCCGACAGCGCAAGCTGCTCATTGAGTCCAGCTTTGGGCGGCCTCATCGGTGCCATGGTGACGCTGGCTGTGGCTCTCCTTGCCGTAGGTGTTCTCCATTGGTTTGGGTTCGTCACTTTTTCACGTCGATCCAAACCCGGCGTACGTAGCGGCTCTCCAGGCGGCTTCCGAGGATCAGATAAGAGGGCTGGTGATGCTGATGTCACAGTTACGGATCGCGGTGTGCAGCATGAAAGGGTTGGCAGCTGGGAGTTGAGAGGTGGATCGGGCGAGGCTCCAACAGAATCTGCTGATGTTGCAACACTGAATCTAAATCGGACTTTGGATGACGACGAAATTAGTTTAACAGGAGTGCAGCCGGTGAAAATCCACGAAACATTTTGAAACTGCCATGAGGCGGAACGAGGCGAGGCGAAGCGAGGCGAGGCGAGATGAGATGGGATCTGAAGAGACTAATACATGATATCCCATTTGCTTCACTTTTGTGTATGTTTCAGATGACGAGAAACATATCTTTGGTAATATTGTCCGTCAGATCAAGAGGCAAACCTGACGTGTTCATGTGTTTCCTTTCTAATACTTATGCTACCTTACCTTTAATATAGTAGGTTCATCAAAAGTTGGAAACATTGTCCACACCATCCACTCTCGATGCTAGGTAAACAGGAACCCCGGCCCAATACTACTTAATCCATTAATTGGTGCAGGATCAGATCAGCACATCGGTGAGTCAACGCCGTGACATGCAGCTGCAGTAGCTATTAGGCGGAACCGGTAGCTCTCCACATCCATGCATAGCGCGGCACTAACACTGAACCCGCGATCATGGTCGTCGTAACTCTCGTAGAGGATGACCAAAGCATGCATTTTCCTCGCTTTGTAAGGGGTCACGGCAGCTTGTCAGTTTCTTCGACTCTGACTCTGCATTCGCGGCATAACAACATACTCGGGCGTAGAATCAAGCGTCTTTCATGCGGCGACTTTGAAAACTCCGAAGCTGTTGCTGATTACAAGCCGTATGGGCGAGTTGCTCAGCCTCAATCACATCTTCTCTTTTTGCTCCACGCAAAGAAGCTCGTCAAGCGTCGCGGCCTCAAATTACAGCCATCAATTATGGATAGCAATCGCTTACAACCGTCTCTGAAGCCTCAGGTCGGCACCTCAAGACGGAAACTCTTCGTCTACAAGCCCCTGGGTGACAACCACAGCGTTCGCTTTCTTGTCCTCCAGCCAGGATCCGGCTCAGATCCCTTGGTGGGGAGCCTCCAAACCAGAAGCCTGGCCTCAGCGGACATTGAGCAACTTCCCCCCTACGAAGCCATATCGTACGTCTGGGGCTCCGGCAGCCGGCAGTACGAGCTCACTTGCGATGGCGCCGTCCTGCCTCTCACGCAGAGCATATACGATGCGCTGAATCGGGTGCGGCTGCCGGACCAGCCGCGGCGGCTGTGGGCTGACCAGGTCTGCATCAACCAGGACGATATCCCTGAACGCAGTCAGCAGGTGAAGCTCATGAATCTGGTGTATAGAAATGCGAAGAGAGTCCTTGTGTGGCTGGGAAGAGATCCCGATGGCGTTGCTGAAGAGGCGGGACAGACGATCCGCCATCTTGACGGCGTGTTTAGAGATGAAAAGGCTCATGAGGAGTTTAAGCTCGCTCATGAGGAAAATCTGGCGCTGCAGAGCTCTGAGCCCTGGGTGCCTCTGGCAAAACTGACAAAGCTGCCCTGGGTAAGTCCATATATAAAATACAAGGCCCCTTTCCCTACTGAAAGACTCATGTCCAATAGCAGAGTCTACAAAGGGCGTAAAGTTTATATAATAAGATATATCTGCTGACGCTGGGAGATCAGTTTCAAAGAATATGGATCGTCCAAGAGATTGGAACAGATGCCCCTGCAACGCTGTACTGGGGCGACACAGAGATAGATTGGGACACATTATCCCACGTCGCAGCCATCCTCAACGAGAGATACTACCACCTCCGCACCCGGTTCCTCCTCAACACCTCCAGCATCCGCTACCTGCACAAACGCTTCGTCGAGCCAGACACCGAATACGACCAGGACCACAACCGCGGCAACTTTGCTTACGAGCTCCACCGAGCCAGACATCTGCTCGGAAACGACCCCCGCGACCACATCTACGCCTTCCTGGGCCACTACTCCATCAGCAAAGCCGGCAAGGAGCTGCAGGGCCTCACAGTGGACTACTCCAAGAGCGTCAGGGACATCTACATCGACGTTGCCGTACGCGCTCTGCGCGGCGCCAAAGACCTCGTCGCCCTCTCCGCCGCGCACCACGGCAAGCCGCTCACGAAGCGGCAAGCATCGTGGGCCAACGGAAATCTAGATCTCCCGTCCTGGGCTCCGGACTGGCGCCATCTGCCGATTCACATCCTCGGCTCGCCGACGGTGCCGCATCGCGCGTCGGGGGACACGAAGCCGGACCTGACCATTGACGAAGAGTCGCGCGTGATGCGCATTCGCGGCGTGAGGGTCGATGTCGTGGAGAGGCTTTCGTGGACCATCTACGGGACGGCGTTTCAGGTGAGGCCTGAGAAGAGGCAAGGCGGGAGGAGGAAGAGGAATTGGGGAGGCAGCAATGGCAGTAATGAGATGGGCGAGGGGGAACGCGACGAGGAGGGATCTGCTGAGCCTACTCAGGGGATTGACGCAACAACACGCGCTCCAAGCAGGAATAATGACCGTCGTCGCGGTTCAGACAGCACCCAGCAGCAATATGGACGTCCAATGCCTCAACGAAGATGGACGCAGCTCGAGCAGAACAACGGTCCTCGCACGCACGTCATGGAGGTTCTATGGAGGCGCATCTGCGGCTACCGGACATTCAACCTCAATCTCGTATACCCCCCTTTCCTCAACAAGACCCCCTCCCCAGCAACAGGAGGAACGGCACCTTTCAAACCCCCATCTTCATCCCCTTCATCATCCGAAGATCATCGCAGATCCGCCTTCTTCGCCTTCATCCAGACCCTCACCAACGCCTGCACGGGCATCGATCGCTCGCGCCCCTACTCATCCATCCCCTCCGAAGAATGGCTCACCAGCGCAGCAGCTTATCTCGTCCGCTACGCCGTTCCACCCTCTTCTTCTTCTTCTTCTTCTTCTTCTTCTCCATCATCCACGCTATCGCCATCTCAAACGTTCCCCGTATCCTCCCCGTCCCCATTCAGATCCATCAGCAGTCCCGACGGCAGCACAACCACCATGTCATCCTTTTACGAGCGCGCAAACTCCATGTCATCCTCCTCCTCCCCCTCCTCCCGCAAACCAACCCCCGTCCACGCCGCCATCCACGCCCTCTCCCTCACCGGCGACCCCTTCAAATGGAGCCACGAGGCCGTCCTGGTTACGCGCTACCGCCGCTTCGCAGTCACCCGCAGGGGATACTTTGTGCTTGGACCCGACGCGCTGCAGGCGGGCGACGTGGTGGCTGTGCTGCGCGGCGGCAAGGTACCCTTTGTGCTGAGGAAGGTCAGTGTTGGTGGTGGTGGTGATGGTGACAGTGAAGAGAGGTGGGTGCTTGTTGGAGAGTGTTATGTGCATGGGCTGATGGATGGGGAGGGGTGGGATGTTGAAGGGGTGGAGGAGGAAGTGTTTGCGATACAATGAGGTTGGCAAGATGGTCTTTTCAAAAGACGTGTATAATGATTCATGAAGATGGATGAGCATACGATAGATGAATGAATGAACAAACTCCTAATCAGATCAATTGACGATACCTTTCGTTGTGTCAAACACCATCTACTTACTGTTCAAGTCTCAGTCTGATATTGATCATATTTCGACATTTTATACAATCATTATTGAGAAATGAATTAGAGATCAAAATTCATGAAAAGTTTTGGCATTTCTTGTCTGCTGAGCCGCTGACCGAGTGGAATATTTCTTCCCCCTTCCGTCTATTTAAATATATAAACCAGACATAAAGTAACAAAAAGGAAAAGCCCTCGCCGCTGTTTTCCGGCCAGCACGATGAATAAAAATAAGGTAGAGAGGATAAGCCGCCTCTTCTGCAAAAAAGTATGACAAAGGAAAGAAGAAGAAAAAGTGTTAAGAAGCAGCATTGTCATGTGTGAAACCCATCCATTATGACCCCATAATAGAAGAAAACTCCGTATACCGCTGCCTGGCCCATAGTATGCACATTCCAGCCTTGAAATAAGTAGAAAAAATAGAAGCCATGATAAAGAAAAGAGAAGTCGCTAATCATAGTAGACCGTGTGGTAAAGATTTGTTTTCCTTTGTTTCTTTGTTTCTTGTTTGTTTAAAGGTCCATAGTCAAGATCTCTAATCTTGATATCACTGCCTCCATGCTGGCACTTATGCTCTGTACTCGGGCCATGGCAATCGCAGCGCTAGCTTCCTCTTCAGTAGCGTCCACGAGTTCAAATCTAGACAGCATTTTCTCGGTCTCGATACCACCAAAGATGTCAACATGTGAAAGACCCTCAGTGTCCAACTCGCTGGACTCGGAGACGGTCGATGCAGGCTCCGAGTGGTACAGGGCAAACTCGGGGTCGGCCTCAAATTCCTCATCGATAGGTCCTGCCTCAGACTGAGTGACTGGAGTCTGCTCAACAGGTCGCTCAATCACAGGCACCTCAACCTTCTCGTCTTCAGACCGGAAAGCCTGCTCAATCACGCTGGGTGCCTTGCCAGACAGGATGCTGGATTCGATGGGAGAGGGAACCTCGGAAGTCTCCACAACAAACACTCGGGGCTGGAAGTTGAAACCGTTGCCGATAAGCGAGAAATCAACGTTCTGCTCAGGAATCATGGCCATGCCAATTTGATGCTGAGAGGGCTGCGATCCGTAAGGGTTGACATCCTTGACTGAGCGCTGCTCTGGCGATGGCTGGGGCTCGGGCTTGACCTGTGCCGGGGCGGCAACAGAAGGGTTTGCGCTGAGGTGGTCCAGGAAGTTGGAGAATGCAGGGGAAGAAAGGAGCATGCGAGTGAGATCAGAAAGGCGCTTGTTCTCCTCGAGCAGAGCGCGGTTCTGGGAACGCAAATCATTGTTGTCCTGCACTTTGCCGGCAACCTCTGACTCAAGCTGGGAGATGTACTCTGTAGCATGTTAGCAAATATTTCTCGGAGTGGCGGAATGGTAAAAGCATCTTACCCTTTCTTCTTGATCGGAAAGCTCGGGCAGAGACCTTGTTGCGCAGCTGTCTGCGCTCTTTGCTGCTGAGCTTCTTGCCCTCTTCGCTTGCCAAAAGGCGCTCGTCATCGTCCATCTCCTCATCATCCTTCTTAGCGCGGTTGAGGTTGGCCATGGGAGAGGAGGCGTCGGATGGCGGAGGAGCAGGCTTAGCCCGCATCGAGTTCAGAAGCTGAGTAATCTTCTGCTCAACAATGGGGTCGCTGGGCTGAGGCGCCTTGCCGGCACGAGCCTTTGCTTGCATGGGCTGGCGCTGAGCCTGCTGCTGCTGGATAATGTGCTGCTGCTGTCTCTGCTGAGCATGAGCCTTGGCCATGGCGGCCTGAGAGTGCGCACCAGGCCACAGACGGCCAACGCCGCTGGCCTGGCTGGACAGACTGGGGGAAGCAAGCGCCGACTCCTGCTCGATGTTGCTGGGGTTGACGGTCGGGAAAAGCTGAGAATCAGCGGGTGAGCCAAAGTCCATAATGTCCGACGCTCCCAGGGTAGCCTGCGACGGCGAGGTGTTGAAGTCGAACATGTCGTTCTCTGAAGGGAAGCCGGTCAGGTAGTCGAGGCTACCAAAGTCCTGGTATCCCGCGTTGCTCGATTCATTGACGGCCATGGTGTTTGCGATGGCGCCGGGAACGAAGCCCGTCTGCTGACGATACATGTCATAGTTGTGGCTAGGTCCGCTCAGAGCCTGCGTCGTCGTCATTGAAGGCGTCGTCACGGCGGTGGTGACCGGGCTGGCAAAGGTGGGCTTGGAGGTGGTGGAGGGAGACAGCGACGGCGAGTTGTAGCTGGGGATCCCATCGTACTCGGATAGATCCAGCAGCGCGTCGATGTCGACGTTATTAGGGCCCGACATTGCGGCGGGATGTGTTCGATACGAAGCGAGATCTGGCAGTTATGGATTCGACTCGATCCGGATTGACGATGCCAAGATTGAAGTCGTCGAGATGGTTTCAACGAGCACAGTGGGAAAAGCTGTAATAGTAATTGTGTTTCGCTTATCCGTCTGTGAACAAAAGCCAGATAGGTAGATGTTCGAGATGGCGGATAATGGAAAATGGTTGGGAATTATTTGCAGGGCAGAAAGAAAAAGTGACGCCTGGCGGATTGGGCTTGGGGGAGCGGCGATAATATGGCTGAGCGTGGAATGCGGTGGATGGGTGCCTTGGGGACTGGGGGCAGAGAACAAGGCGCCAGCACTCAGTGAACAGCCTCCATGTACTGGGCACAGCGCTGGAAGGGGACCGCTTTAGGGGAGGCCCCTTGGCGTCTGCTGGCGTCGGGGAGGGGTGCAGGGATGCGGCGGGGGTGCCAGCACGAATGGGGCCGTGGACGCGTAAGCCTTTTGGCCCTCAGCATTTAATGCAGTGAGCGCCGTTGCAGAAGCTCGGCGGGCAGCCACAGCGGCGCAACCACTAGGCGCAGCCCGCGGGCCTGTTTGGTGCAAGCGCGCGACGGATCTTTTGCAGCCATCGCACCTTTGGGCTAGCAGCTGCGTCCATTGCCTGAGGGATGACGACGCCCGTCCCGCCAGTTATACGCTCCGAGTACACGCTCTGCTCCATCCAGCGTGGTACTCTGTGCTCTGATACAGCCAGCAGAGCTGCCTTCGCCGGGTGCGCCAACCGAGCCGCTGGCAGAGACAGCACGATAGCCTCGGAGATGGGCAGGGCTGACGAACGACACCACGCAGCGGCCGCGAGGCCAAGCCTTTTAGCTCTCGCCAGTACGAGGATTCGATTGCTGTTAGGCCCGGAGCAGCAATTGTTTACGACGACTCTCCCGAAAAAAGAAGAATATTACATCTCGTTATCTTCCTGGAGGGAGATCTGCCCATCACTTATTTTTACACGGGAGATGTGGAATACCTTGGGTACCTGCTGCTAGGGAGACTCTACGGCAGATCTAGAGAGACGCCCATGGCAGATGTTTCAATGCTCTGTTGCTCGTACTTACGAGTGCTTCCCGCATTGCCTGGGAAGAGAACAAAGGCTGAACCAAGCAAGCTTACTTGCCGACTCCCTTTTTACTTTGTCGGGGCCGATTCGCTTGTGCTAGTCGCCGTCGATTTGCTGGCGAGGCGTCGATAGTGCAGTCTTTATTGTAGCCCGAATCAACCATGTATCGCTCCTTCGGGCTGCTCAACAACCCGACGGTTCGTAATCCTTCCTCTTGAACGCCAATAGTGAGCAGCCATGGATACCTTGCGGGTACTTGGCGTCTCTAAGTCCGAGAAGCGATGTCGACTGGGTGCCTCTACAAACTTTCGGTGCCGGCTAACGTACCCTCAAAGTCCTTCTACTGGCGAGACCATCTCCCCACATAGTGGTGGCTGTGCACCACGCTTCTCTGTCCAGAGCCTATCCAACAAATTACTGGAATCCTGCTGGAAGAGGATGGCACCCTTCGGTCTCCGAGGTGGCTGGACAGGCTGGGATGCCCATCACGTGACCTTTCTCCTCGCTTTCGTTTATCTGAGAAAAGCGGAGGCAGTGTTTCACAGCACGCCGGCGATTCGCTGATCAGAGCTGGGCTCGTTTGATTGGCTCGTGGCGCTCGTCTCCAAAGCCAAACTCCTGTTGAGCATTGCCAAGGTCGGTTCATTTGGTGAATCGTTGCCCGTTGAAACGAGATCAGCTCGACGTGCCATCATTGTTTCGCCGTTTCGTCGTGCGGCCAACGCAGCATCAGGCAGTGATGCCGATTTCCAACATCGCCAGTTCAGAGAATATCATCTTGACAAAGTCATCAAAGCCAGTTCATCTCGTCGCCAAGGCTTAGTGCAGAGAAAGCAATCTTCCACGATTCAGCTTCAGGCCTGTCGCCGCTGTGGCTTGGATCCCGTCCGCGTAGCGACGTCTAAGCCGCACCCTGCGAACAATTACACAGGTACCTCTGGAATACTGCGGCGGAGTACGAAGCGCTCAGTATTGCTCTACCTTGATATCGTGCGCAAAACATGAATCCCCTTTCCAAAGTTTCTGGCGAACAAGTGCCGTCTTGCCGGAAAATCAGGATCCAAGGCTACTGGGCAGCGGCTGAGTCGGCAGTGAGCTGCTCCTGAGATCCTTCAAGGGCGGAGCGCCTCGTATGAGATGCTCCAAGAAGCATTGACAGAGTCAGTAGAACGCCTCGCCGCTGCTTCTCTAGCGATGCTTTAATCTCAATGCCCTGGACGCAGCATTCTCACATAAGGTAGGTACCTGCTCTTTACGCGGTGGCAGTACACATATCACTACCTGTCCAGCTGAAACCTCTCAAGGCCAGGATGCGACAGAACACGTGTGATGTTTCTATTTTTGTATTTTGACTCTGCGACGACATGTGAGGCAAATTCCTAGTTCCACTTACACGGCGATGCACTGTTGGTTTCATGGCAGCAGATGTTTGTTTGACCATTGGTGATATATCCGCCTATTTCCGCCAATTCCCATCTCCATCGAGACCACCAGGTCTTTTCAAGCAACACAGAGAATCTTGAATAATGCTCCGTTGGCTCAACGTTTGATCCATCGGTTTTCTGGAGCATCCAATCATTCCGGTTCCCGCTGATTCGGCAGCCGCGGGTCCTCGAGCGTTTCGTGGCAGTGCCGGGATGGTGGGATGGCGTGCGGATCATGACATAACCCGTCCCGTCCGGATGTCAGTTTTGTTTTCGAATGGCTATCCGTTTTAGGAAATGTATGATGAGAAAGCCATGGCACTGCTTTGTGATTTCGCTTATGGCTGTCCACCTTGATTTCTTGGCTCATAGTTGTATTCTATATTACCAAGTAGCATCCATCAACTCTGGATATTCGTCGTTATCTGAATGGTGAGTACATTTAGGTATTTTTGTCCACAGGTAGACATCTACAGAGCAGCAGTACCTACTAGTGCAGTGCTGTCTGCAAATCAGCCGCTGTTACGCAGAGCTATAACGAACATTCGGTTTCATATCAGTTCATTCCCATACATATCAGCCTCGGTGATATCTATCAATAATCCCCTTCTCAAAAAATCCATGAAATACTCCATGTACCTTTACTTATCATCTTTGTAGAGCCAATGGCACTTATTCTGCGGGAACACTTGCGCACTCTTGCTTATCGCTGCTACCCAAATATGCGAACGCCTATCGGAAGGGGAATACAGTTTTCCCGGAGCTTCCGCTGCAACGTGCCTTATGTAACACAGGCCTCAAACTGCCCAACACCATGAGAGAGTCTCGCGTCCAACTGCCAGATGGTCACGCAACTGGCTCCAGCACCTGATCAGTTGAAGCCCAACCAGCTTGCGGCGGTGCCTCTCCAAGCGGCTGATTCTCTATTGCGACGGCCCACCTCACGCGTCTGCTGGTACTGGGAACTGGCGCCTTGCAACTGATAACAGTCGCTGTAGGGCTCTTCTCTGCCCATTCGCGCGGGACCCACGCATCTAGTTTTCCACCTGGTCGTTTCCATCTGTTTGTGTGCTGTTTTCACCCAGGGCCAGGCTACCCCTCTTACTGCTGCTCCCGCCCAGTGAGCGAGATTTATGCAAGATCTCATCGGGCTGTTGATGCAGCTGTGAGCGCGTGCTGAGCCGGTGAACTGTGCCTTTTTCTTTGCTATGCTAATAGTACCTCTGTTTGTGGATCACTACAACACTGCGTTATGATATTATAATCGTGTTTGACAGTCACCCAAGGAAAAGAAAAGGCAAAAAAAAAAAAAAAAAAAGATGGGAAGAGGACGCCGCGGCTTGATCTCGGCGGCTGCCTCTGGCCCCAAAGAACGCCATAAGAGATCGCAAAGGTCTCAATATCATCATCCCTACTCGCCTCCGCCTGACACCTTCATGGCCAAGCCATCGCTACCAAAATCCAAGCACCACTCTTACTTCGAGCTAGTTGAGAACAAGGAGAAGAAGAAGAAGCTCGAGTATCAGGTACGCTTCGGTGGCGGCGCAATCAAACCCCATCTACAGTCGTCTCTTCTGGCTCTGGCGATGAGATGCTCACTTTTTTTCCGCAGATTACTACCGAAAAGAACCCGCCGCCAGGGTTCGAATTTGTCCCCATCGGCAATCCAAAGTTAACTGCGGCCTGCAAAGAAATATCCCGCGAAAAAGATGCCATGATTTTCATCGTCTCGGTTTGTTCACATCCCCGGTTGCGTTTTTTTACCAGTAGAGCATCCATCTAACCATTGCGCTTTCTTGCGTCTTTTCTCTAAAGAACGCCAGAAGTCTCGACGAAAGCATCCTCGCCAACCAGGTCCATCGAGTTGGCCATCATATCAGGCAAGTCATCGTTGAGGAGGCCAAAGAGAGCCTTGGCGGCTCGTCCCATCACGCCGTTCCGGCAACCGACGCAGGGCCTGAGCCCATTCCGGAATCTCAGAGGGCATACCATGCTCAGGTTGATGCAGCTATCAGAGACTTGTTTCCACGGATTCCCAATACTGACCGTCAGATGATTATTGAGCACTCTTTCACTCGGGTTTGTAATCTCTCTTTTCTTCCTATTCTCCCGCCTCCCATTTTTCCACGTTCAAAACAAGGACACATAACGAATAATAATCTCTTCTTTAGGGCTCAGCTAATCGATCCGAGCATCCCGTTGGGTTCTCGGAAGAGATTGCGCTATCCCGCAGGGTCCAGCTGGCTGTCTTGGCTCACATAAGGCACACGCATACGCGGTATGATCTGCTTCTGAAAGAAACAACATGGCAGAATGCTCGGAAAACTGTAGAATCTCTGTGTCTCGACATCCTCGTCAAGTGGCGGGGAGACGAAGAGACTGGTCGTGACCAGCTGGATGAGATCCTCCGCGAAGTAGTTGTCATTTCTGATTCGGAAGACGATGAGGACGACGACGACGACGAAGAGGAATCGACTGACTATACGTCAGATGAAAGTGCTGACAATGCCAGGCTCACACCCATGCCTGTGTATCGGTCAGCACCACCCTTGCAACCTGTGGATCGAACAGATCGCTCCCCTCCAAAGTCACCTATCCGGGAAGCGATCCAAGTGGCTTCTTCTCCTCCGATTAGGATCGGTTTAGAAGACACTGGTCGCGCTCGTAGAAATGACAGGAGAGCTCAGCGAGGTTTTAGAAGATACCGTGCCTGGGAAGAGGCGATTAGACGTAACCGAGGGGAAACGCCTTTGGTGGAGCGGACCTCTCCAGATATAGCCATCAGTCATGCTTCATATCGACCATCGCCGCCTTCTAGATTTTCCTATGACGCTTATGGTCGGCCATATGACAATCCTGATCCAATGGTCCATCCTGGCGGTATCTTTGGAGTCTCCTCGCATCTGGATAACCATCGGATACAGCAGCCAGTATATGGGATACCGTCTTCTTTGAATGCTTCGCCCTACCTTGGCCGAACAGTCGAACCCCAATTTGCTCATGAAAAGGTAATGTCTGTTGTTCCGTTCCCGACCAGCACGTCTTCTCGCGAGCTGGCCTCTTCTTCGGCTTCCAGTCATTTCCAAGACATGTTGGTACGCTCTATCGAATCCCGTTCTCCGACTGCGCAGCCCACCTTTATTCGCACCCTGCCTCCCAGGAGTCAAGCATCTGTAAGTTCGTATGCGCCACTGGCCACGTCCCTGGCTAGTATTCAACAGCCTCCCATGCTTGTTTCGCATCCAGCAGAAGAAACCCGTTCCTGGGATCGCCCCTCACCTGCACATATATCCACTGGCTTTAATAGGCCTCAAACCATGAGTATCGACGCTGTGTCCAGTAGAGAATCTGCCCAATCACTTGATTTCCGTGGCTCTACCTACTTTCATCCGCCGTCTGGATATGGAGCACAACCACCGCCTCTTTATTCGCATCCGATTTCTAGCAATCCAGGACCAGGCTCTTCCAGGCTCCCGGAAACAAGGAGAATTGTCTTACAAGCAACCCGACCTGGAGAACGGCCAAACCCTATCCTTATGGAGGATAGAGGTGGATATTTTGAAAGGATAAACCCCAGGCCTGAAAGCAGCTCAAGAATCCAGCTACGCCCCGTCCGCTCTGCTCAGCCACAAACAGAGGTTCAAAGTCAAAGAATTGTTCGACCTCATACAATCTTCTCATGGGAAGAGGATTTAAGAAACAGAGGCGGACGCCGTGGCGTCGCCGAAATTGAGGTCAATCCCATAGTCGATCCTCGCCCCCATGCACCTCATGCTCGACAACATGCTCCCCATGAATACTTTGGCGCGCTACCACCGACCAAAGAGGACGATTACAGACTACAGTCTCGGCGAGTGCCAGATGGAGAGTATGGTGCAGCACCTCCCGAGGGCTACTGGACTATGTGAGTTACAGTAACCCTGGATTGAAAGACATATTGAACATCTTGTTTCATGATACTCATTCATAGTAGACGACAGCATGGCGACGAGCAAGCCCCACGGCCTCATCACGAACCCGCAATCTATCATCCCATAAATACACTGCCTCCAAGAGCGGACGAGCGGTATGAAACCGGGCGGGACCACCGCCCTTTGGCTCAACCAGCGCCAAATGTAATCATTATCGATTGATTGTATGTCATACTTCAGCATTGACGGCAATATCAGCCGTCTTTTGTTTTTATCTTTGCCCTCATACTCTGTTTCATGCAACCAGACATCATCCTTTAATCATGATCAATCATGATGTCGAGATTAAGGATTAGAAGCTCACGCTTTGGTTTGTTGAAAACGCTTACATGATGAAAAAGCATGCAGTGGAGGAATTTTGCTTCATTGAACTCGTTGTTATTATACCCAATATTGTCATCTTCTCTGAGCCAGATCTTGGCAGCGTGGAAGCACCACTATTTGATACCCAATAAGAGGGAGGCATTGGCATTGTCTTTTTTCTCGAGGAGAGGTGTGGAGATGGGGAGAAAGAGAGAGCATTAGATGTGGAGGAGAGTGTATACATGAGTTGCTTTTGTTGGAAACAACGCTTGGGCTGAGTTGAATGGAAAGTTGAATGTGTCAATTTGCTCTTGTCCTAGAAGAAGACTATCTATATGAAACTCTTTTACATTCACATGAATGTGCATATCATAAAGCTGTAATTACAGTAAACTAAATGAGAAATTTGGAACATGTAATATATATATTGCATAAACAAAAAGAAAGCTAACCACGCAACCCACATTCGCTCACGTTCAAGAGAGTATTACCATCTCTTTTCTCTCTCATGATCGTGCGTAGGTATCCATAATATGCCTATAAAGCTAGATATTCACCCATAATCATCCCATCAATTTCCGTTTCCATGAAATGACTGTCTTTTCTGTAGCCCATCAGTGTATGTCTTCTATCTCCCCTTTTTAAAATATTTCTAGTTTCGGCCTCCTCTTCTACCCTTCCCTATACCCGCGCCGCCGGAAGGACCGTGTCTCTTCTCAGTGCCCAGTCCTCTCCTGCCAGCAGCGATGCCACCCTTACCGCTCCTCGGGCCGCCGAAAGAACCGCCGCCGCCACGACCTCCACGACCACCGCCGCGCATGGGGCCGCCTCTTCCACGGCCTCTGCCACCACGATCGCCGCGGCCGGGGCTGATGCTGTTCTTGACGGCCACGGCGTCATCGTCATCCATCTCGTCGCCGTCGTCGCCATCCTTGGAGCGCTTGTTGGAGAACTTGAGTTTTCCTCCGCGGCCGCGTCTTGCGGCATCACGGCCCTTGATGGCGGCGACGTAGGCGCCCACGCCGGAGTTCTCGGGCTGGTCGACCTCCATGGCGCCTTCGTCCTCGTCGTCGTCCTTGCCGAGGATGAGCTTGCCGTCGAGATCCATTTTAGCCTTGGTCCGCTGGGGCTTGCGAAGCTTGACGGGCTTGGTTGATGATATGCTGGCGAGGGCCTTCTTGTCGAGCAGATCGAGGGGTTCGTCGTCGTCCTCGACAATGTAGGTCTTGCCGCCCTTCTGGGCCTTCTTCTTCGGTCTTGCGTCTCCTTCGTCATCCTCTCCTTCGGATTCTTCAGACTCGCTGCTGTACAGAGCGCGGTCGTATTCGTTTTCATATTGTCGCTTGCCGTCCTCTTCCTCGTCGTCACTGGCGTCCTCATCATGAGCATTCTTGGCAGCGTCCTTCTTTCTCTTCGCTCTCTCCTTGGTCTTGCGGATATTGGCGAGCAGCTTCTTGTCGGAATCAGGGCAGGCGTTGTTGATGGCGTCGAAGCCAAAGCGGCGAACCATTCGCTCCAAGATGTGTCTAACCTTTGACTTGAAGTGGCCCTTGTGCTCCTTACTCCAGGTAAACAGGTTGGGCACGAGTGTGGCCAGGCGTGGCACCATCAGCTCGACGGGCAGGCTGATGACAGATATCTTGACAAAGCCCAGGCAGCTCTTGACAATCTCTCGGTTATTTGACGTCAGGAAGAGATCCATAGTCTGCACCAAGTCGGACAGGGTCTGCTCGCTCAGTGATGACCGGAACTCGTAGAGGAGACGGCTAATGGCGGTAACAGAGGCAGAAATCATATGAGGGGTACTTCCGGCGAGACCGGCGCTCACCATGGTAAAGAACTCCTCGATATTGGCAGTGGCGGCTGGAGCATCGCTCGGCATGTGAGGTACCTTGCTGTTGTCGATTGTAGCACCGTCGGCGGCCGCCATCTTCTGTCCCATTTCAACCAGGAGATCGTATGCGCTTTCACGAGCTCTCTCGTTGTTCTCCTTGCAGCAGATGACAATCTCGCTCAAGACAGCTGGAATGAAATGAAGATCGCTGTTGGGAATGAAGGGAAGAAGTGCAGAGATGGCAGCAATTCGCTCTCGTCTAGCCGGCGCAGATACCTTCTCTGAGCTGGAGAGGATCAGAGCCTGCATTTCCGCATTTCGCTCCTGTAGAGCAGCCTTGCCAAGCTCAGAAGTTGCCAGTCTGGGGATCAGCTTGTAAGCCTTCTTCTGCAGCTGGGGCTCCTCTTGCCTGTTGATAATTGCCGTGGCAATCTCAAACAGCGTGACGAAGCTCTCTCGGGGGAGGTATGCTGAAATGGTAATGACGAGATCCATAAGCGTCTGCGCAGTGGAGGGCATGTGGTCTTTTGATTTTTGACCTTGCTGCTTGTTCTCTGCTGCAGGCGCGTTCTGGAGCTCTCCTGCAAGCATCTTGCTGACACGATCGAAAGTCTCCATAAGCTCCTGGTTCGGCGTAATGCTGAGGAAGGCATTCACAGTCTGGAGAATGGGGCCTCGGCTTTGAGGAAGAGTCTGGGTATATACGTTGAAGAGCACTGCGAGCATGTTACCGGCAAATTGGCCGAGATAGGTCAAGTTCTTGCGAGCGCCATCCTTGGTTACCCGGCTCTGCAACAGGAGATCTTCCTCCTCTTCGATATTTGCAACGGCTTGATTTGACTCAATTAAAGTCCTCAGAGCTCTGCAAATATCCAATCTCAGATCAACTTGCTGGTAAAGAAGGTTGGCCAAAATCTCAGCCAGGGCTTGGTCGAAAGATTCCAAAAGATCGAGCGGTAAATCGCAGTAGCCTGGAAGAGTGGACCAAATCTGCTGGACGAGTGTCTCGTAAATCTTGATCTCCATAGTCTTCTCGGCTTCGCCATGGTCCAAAACCTTCTGGAACATGACTTCACTGAGAGGTACCATCTCACTCTTGAAATGAGACAAGTTAGTATTGCTAGTGTAGTCTCGCAGGATGGGGAACAGCCATGCTCTTCCGGCCTGGCCCTTGACTGGCTTGAGAATATTCAGTGGAAGAACAGACAGAACCGCCTCAGGGCCCATGGCCCGGACGGCTTGTCCCAGCACATCGTCTGCCTCCTTTTTGTTTCGGAAAGACGGGTTCTCTCGAATCTCACCAATGGTGCGTGTGACATTGAGCATGATGGGGTTCGCTCGCCATCTCAGGGCAGTGAAGATTGCTTCTAGGACGTTAAAAGTCTGTAGCCAAGCGGCCTGATACTGAACACTCAGGAGGGACTCGGCCGCCTTTGCAATTTTATCCAAGACCTTCTCGTCGAATATTGAAGGCTCGAGGATAACATTGGGCGGCACGCAGTTGGCCATGAATGATATCAAGCACTCAGAAGCAGAAATTCTAATGTTCTCAGAATCAGACTGGAGGAATTGCGCCACCATGTTGAAGAGTTCGGGGAGGTTTTGGAAAGTCTCGTCGGCTTCGACTTGTGCCGAGACGTCGTAGCCTCGGGACAGGATGGCAAGCCATGCAGGGACAAGCTGGGTATCGTTGGCAGCTGGGCGCAGCTCTGAGATAATCTCCATCAAGCGAGGTAGCTTTGCTGAAGTGACTTCGTCTGTCATTCCCTCAAACATTAATTCGAAAATCTCGAAAGCCGCCATGGTCATGTACTCGTTGCCGGATTTAGCAATGTTCAGGAGCAGCTCGCAAAGAGATTCGATCTTGGTCGTTGGCCAGCCGCCGCTCGCCGCAGCGACAGTCTTGACCAGTTGAAGCGCATGGATCAATGCCGGATCGTGCGTTGTGCTGGGCGCCTTCTTGCCCTTTCGTGCCTGGATAGCCTGGGCAGCCAGATCCTCCAAGTTCTTCAGCGCAGTGTGCGCACACATGTCTGCGGCCGGGTGGTCCAAGGATGGGGTAGGCGGTGGGTTCTTGAGTACTCTCTTGAGCGCATCCATAGATCGTCTCCGGACTTTGGGCCTCTGATCCAAAGCCAGGTTCAGCAATCCAGCAACTGCGCGCCTGGGTCCGATTTGGGTGACAGACAGCTCCCATGAAGCGGCATCTTGAGCCAGGAGCAGAGACTCGAGGCACCCAATTGAGGTCCTTAGCAGAATTGGCTCCGCATCCTGCATCAACAAAACCGGTGCGAGCAGCGTAAGGATCTGAGTAAACTTGGATCGAAGCAGAGGCTGGGGAGCGAACGGGGTGACCACGTCAAGAAGGTACACCACGGGAGTGGCTAATTCGATGTTGATGCTTCCATTGTTCTCGGCCTGTTGTAGAAGCGCGAGAAGGGCAGCAAAGTATCCAGTGGAAGTCGGAGCGGTGTTCTGCTCTTTCAAGGTTGATTCGACCGCATTCAAGACAACGACGGTCTAAATTGTACACACACAAAAAGTCAGTAACAGAAATCACCAAGACTCTCTCTCCTTCTCTAGTATTTTCTTTTACCTTCTGCTGGCTTTGAAGACCGGGGGACTTGATCTTGTCCAGCTTCTCGGCCAGAGTCGGAGTCGCCATCTTTTTGTCGATTCCGTCGCAATCTCCAAATCTGGTTGAGTGAGAGCAGAAAGCGCAGCGCCTTTGCGAACAAGCAAAAGCACCAAGATCAAAAAAATTCCCTTATCGCAATCCCCGCCAGCCCGATAACGCCCATTGTAGCGTGCAGCTGTGGAGAGTTGTGGCTAAGCTGAGGGTCAGCCACAGCCACAAGCCGTGCCTTATGACAGTATCCGCTGAATCGCTGTATCCGGGCTGTCGACGTACCTGCGGCCCCTCCAAGCCTCACTCTAGCTCCAAGTCGCAGCTATTGGTCGTCAGCTGTGTGAGGGATCCCGCTTTCGCAATTCCGACTTTGACCCTTCTTCGCAGCTTCGAGGAACCATGACGTTCCTCATATTGGTGATTGGGGATCTGCACATCCCAGACAGGGCGCTTGATATCCCAGCCAAGGTAAATGCGCAAACAACAGGCCTGCCAGCTTGGGCCTGCCTTATACCCTGGAGAAGAGAGAGTGTTGTCACCGAGCTCGACTACGTTCCTGTTTGCTAACTTACGATTCACCATATTCTAGTTCAAGAAGCTGCTTGCGCCCGGCAAGATTGGTCAGACGCTATGTCTCGGTAACCTCACAGACAAACACACATACGAGTACCTGCGGTCCGTGTCGCCGGATCTCAAGATCGTCAAGGGCCGCACCGATGTCGAGGCCACGTCTCTGCCGCTCACGCAAGTCGTCACCCATGGCGGCATACGAATTGGCTTCCTCGAGGGCTTCACTCTTGTTTCCAGCGAGCCCGACCTGCTGCTGGCCGAAGCCAATCGGCTGGACGTCGACGTCTTGTGCTGGGGCGGCACTCACCGGTTCGACGCCTTTGAGTACATGGACAAGTTCTTTGTGAACCCGGGAAGTGCGACGGGAGCATTTGTGACGGGGGCAAGCTTAGATGCGGAGCCTGCGTCTCCAAGTTTCTGCTTGATGGATGTAAGAGGCACTTATCATGATTTCGCGAGATTCTTTGTTTGTGGTGTGGTGCTTACTATTATAACAGGTTCAGGGCATTTCGCTCACTCTCTATGTATACCAACTGAAGACGGATGAGAAAGGAAACGAGAATGTGGCTGTAGAGAAGGTTACTTATACAAAGCCGGTGGAGCCAACTACCGGTTCATCATGACGCCTAGTTTGAATGGAGCAAGAGAGAAGAGGAGACTCAACTAATAGAGAAACATCTTAATTGACGATGGCAAAGGTAGAAGCAGAGTTAATACCCGGCCTGTTCAGTTATACAAAAAGCTACGTTGCTTGCCGGTGCACAGACATATATCACTTATATCAAAGACATAAAATAACAGAAACAAACTTTGGTTGAGTGTCAAGTGTCATTGAGAATAGTCCACAGACAAAACACAAAACAATTCAAAACAAGGTCATAATGATAAATACAAACAACATCCAATAACTTCCATCGCTTGGTATCTCGAGCATGAAAAAAAAAAGATTCAGCATCACCCTAACAATATATCCCGATCACCAGTCGTGAGAAATCCAGAAACGCCCAGCACATCTTATGCTTAAAGACACCAAATTCCTTTTTTTTCCATTCCCCCTTCTCCTTTCTTGCTTTCAAAGTCGCTATTATATCATCATGCTCCTTCGCCGAGAGCTATTCTTCTCCCCATTTGATATACCTTCTCTTTCACTGTCTGCGTCAATCATCATAGTTGACTGCCTCGATGTTGTGGTCCGTCTTCGACCCCTTTTCTTCGGTACTTTGACCTCTTCTGCCTCATGTGGGGGCGACTCGCTTGTAAATTCGTACACGTCGTTCTCTACCAACCCGCTGCTATCAAGGTTGTTGCTTTCGGTGACTTCCATGTCCATAAACTTATCGCTTGCAGTTTCCGTCGCCTTTGGTGCTATACTGGAGGAACGTTTTCGTCGCTCTGTAACGCCAGAAAGGACATCAGTGGTGAGTTGTTTTGTTGCCAATGGACTTGCTGGAACATTGCCACTTTCTGGAGCAATATCCGTCGCTTCAATCTGCCGCTGGGTTTTTGCTGATTCAGACATGGCAGGATCGTAGTTGCTAATTCGTCGAGCATACTTGCCCTCTCCAGCTACCGCATCAAACAATTCTTTTGTAGGTCGTCGCATCTTCACTCTCAAGTTGGGTTCGGCATAGCTGATAGTCATCCGATTCCGCCTACTAGGCCGTGATGTTTCTCCGCTAGACGAGATATCATTTGGCGGAGGCGTGTCTCCCCGTGATCCATCGAGCAGTGTAGCTATTGCCGGAGAAGAGGGTGAGAATAAAGAAGATTCTCTGATGGGTGCTGCCAAATCATGCATATCGTCTGATAGTTTGTGAGGTTCAACAGTAAGAATAGGCACAGTTTCGGCCTTGACGGACGAAAGCTTTGTCGATTTTGGTGGTCTCCCGGGTGCAGCTTTTGGCTTTGCTGCGTTGATCTTAGCTGCTAGAATATCATCAACTATAGATGATTTCAATTTGGGAATCTTCTTTGGAGAATTGACATCGTCGTTAGTGCTCTTGGCGGATAGCGGTTTTCGGATGTTCTCTGAGAGATCTTGCTGTGAACTCTTTCTCAGCTTGGCCAGATCGTTGACACTTCTTCCATCAGCCTTGCCGCGAAGCAGTGTCTTTTCCCCCAATGTCTTGCTAATACTGTTCTCGTCCGTCACTTTTTGAGGTTGAGTATACTCCTCATCGTCTCGAGCTCCAAATTTTCGTTTTGACCCGGCCTTAAGGGGTTCAATCGGTGTGTTTTTAGGTGGTCGCCCACGTCTTGGCGCTATCACGGGCCGCTCGTTCTGCTCTTTTTTCCTTTCTACTTCTATAGGTGGAGATGATACGCTGCCCTGATTGTTGTTTGATTTTGAGATGGACAGAGAAACTGGCGGTTCAAGTTTTCTCGCTTTCGAACTGTCATTCGAAATTTCATCGTCATCCTTTAGGGGCTTTGATCTAGTCGGTGAGTCGATTTTCACTGGGTCTTCTTCAATATATTTAGAAATTGGTGGAGGGCCCAATTCTGGTGATTCAGCCTCGAAATCAGCTTCTGATCGGAGCGCCATGATTTGTTCAGGACTAAGTATCGGTTAGCACCCTGATTCACGTGCAAGAAATTGAATCCACTCACTTCATAGATCTTCGTGAATAGCTCTTATTTTCCGAAATGTGGCCCAATTCCTCAACATCTCTTGCGATTTCGCGTAGCCTCCTCTGGGACGGACTGGGGCGACTTGCGCTGAAGCCCATAGTCTGCTTCGGCCTTCTCCTAATCATGGGCGAATGTCGCTTTGCGGGAGGCTCAAGGCCTAATTCAGCAATAAGCGAGCCCCATTCCGTGAGCTGCGATTCCAGTTTGGCCTTGATGGCCATTGCGTGATCTGCGATTCTCTGCGATTCATTGTCCCCGACTTGTTTCTCCAGCTCCAGTATGCGACTGCGCAGTTCGAGGTTTTCGGATAGCATACAGGCGCACTCGTTTTCCAGCTCTCGAATTCGTAAGGCCCGAATATTATTTGTCTTTGCGAGTTCCCTATTCTGGCGAAGCATCTTCTTACGAACTGTTTAATAGTTAGCACGCGCGACAGTCCAAACTCTGATGCCCGAGATTCAGAAAAAAAAACAAAGAGACACATACGCGTTTCGATGCTCTCTGCCGGCGCCGGCATTTCATTAAGCCTGGCCATGGCTCCTCACAGAGCGCGCGTATCTGTTGCGCAAAGGACGAAAGAGAAGAGTTTCAATGCAATAGGGCGAGAGACGCTTGCATGAGCGTCAAGAACGTTTAAGAAGTCGGTCTGCAGGTCGTCGATGCTGGCGGGATGAATTTGGGGATCATTGTTTACTCCATGTCTTGTTTAGGCATAGCGCGAGTGGAAATGCGCCAACTGGAGCCTATCGGTACATGCCAATGTACACACAGCAGCTCCCGTTGCTATGCCCAGAACACTAAACGCTACGCCCCAACAACTTCTACCTGAATCCTAAATAACCCGTGAAAACAGCCGAGTATAAACTCTAATCTTTTTACATTTTCACTGAAATCGAAATCGGGGTTCGCCAGCTGATAGCTTAATCACTCTCTATACAAGAAGACAGTTTCTTGCCTTGTGATAGCGAAATAGACAAGCCAGCTGCTGCAGCGACCTAGACCATAGAACTTCTAGCCTCAAGCCGCTAGATATTAATGTAACCTCGAAAACATTTTGAATTTTGTGACTCTGATAGCTGATCCAAGAGATAACGCTTCGCATTTGGCTGCGATTGTTGGTTTATAATTACCTACGCTCCTGTTTAACGCTTATAACGGTACAGTGTCTATGTGCTTTAAATGCAATATTTCGCACGGCATGCCACACCACCATTGTCGCATCCAATCAATGGCATTCCTCCAGGCTAGCTGCATGTAGTTGAAGGTCCAAGGCTCAAAGCTCACCAGCGCGTTTGCCTTCTTTGTTTATCACAATCACAGTCTATCCAGTCGGCCTCTTGAAGACTATTGCCGTACTGCCCTCGGGCAATAGACAATCTTTTGTCGTCTATCCACCGAGCGTATTCCCGCGCACACAACCATTGGTCTCCCAAAATGTCGTATCCCACCAGGTCTTTTTCGTCGCATCTGCGCGCACCAAGCAGTTCAACCGCCTCAGCTCCACAGTCACCAGCACTTCTGGCCCGAATCGAAGAGAAAAAGGCAGAGCTCGAGAATTTGAAAGAGCTCAGAGACTTGAGCGCAGCCGTAGCAACCCAGATGGAGGCTCTGGAAGAGAAACTGTCCACCCTGTCTGATGGAACAGAGGGTAAGACTAGCTGTTATTGTAATTTTGGCTCGATAATAACATACAGATAGCTATTGCTGCCGTGGTTGGCAACTGGCATAATGTGCTTCGTGCCATCAACATGGCTTCAAGTAAGTCCAGCTTCATAGAGGTACTCTATCTATACTATGCACAGCAGCTTAACCGTAATGCAGCAAAGCTAGCAAAGACAGCAACCGATGCTGGCCCAGAAGAAGAAGTGTCCTCATCGACTGGACCACTACCCCAAACTCTAGTACGAATTCCTACGGAGCATGCACCAGCACTGCAGGCGCAAGCAGAAGCGGCAGAAGCGGCAGAAGCGGCAGCCGAAGGGGAATCGACCTCGGATCCTTAGGCTAGAACGAGCAGACGGCAGTAATTAAAAGAGAGAGCCTCGGACTCGACTATTATGAGAATGGTATCCAAGCTCGGTAAAAAGATGTCACGGCGACATGAGAGGCTGGAAATATTCACTCCAAGAACCACAGCACACAGGGTAGCATCATTGGCAGCTCTATTTTTTTTTTTGGGGGGGGGGGGGGTTTGTTTTTTTGGTTCCCCGGCTTGAAATGCTATTGCTCAGAAGATGCTCGTGCCTCTGCTGCAAGAGATGAAATTCGAGCAGATAGAGGCGGCATCGTTCCAAATGTCAAGAATGCCATCGATCCATCGGCAGCTTCGCATGCCGCAGATTGATCACTTATAGCGGGGCGGGCAATGCCATCGCGACGCGTTGCCTCGGTCTCGGCTGCGATACCGCTCGCCACGTTCAGCACTGCGACCGGAACAGCAAGCGATATAAAAAGAAAACGGAAATGACGATGGGTCGACAAGGTCGCAGCAAGAACAGTGGAACACGGGCGGCAATGGTGGAAGGTGGAAGAGGCCGAACTCATTTAATTTCGGCTCCACCAAAGGCCAAGCCATATCGGTTTCATCCGCCATCAACACTCAGTTCATGCAGCCTCTTTACGGCAGACCAGCCCAGCTCATTTACCCCAGAAAATCATCTGCTTATGTTACTATGCCCAAACCAGCATCATCATCGCAATCTTGATTTCAGTTCCTCACCACTAGTTGAAATAGAAGAATTCGCGAACATTCTGAACTTGGCCCCGCTGCGCACTCAACGGACTTCAGGGTTATTTGCGAAATTACATACGCTTTTTGGGTACCGGGCGCGAGTAGTGTGATTGATTTCTGTCGTATCTGATAGAAACCCCCTGCTTGCGAAGTTTCCAGTCCACTTGGCCCTCAACGAATTTTGTGTCTCGAAATCACGTTGGCGAAGTGATGGTCCAGCGCAGGACTGCAGCCTCATCGGCCAGAGAGGCCGGCGACTTTAATAAGACTTGGCGCAATGGAAGCACCTTTGACGTTCGCTCTCGCCCCGACATTTTTGGGCGACCCGCCAGCGCTCGTGACTTTTACGAGTACGAGAAACTACCTCATCTTGCGACAAAGCAAATCACCTCGTCGAAGCGGAATTTAGCGGGGGGTAGTGTCGACCAGGATCCCTGCCCAGGTCAATGTCACGGCCAGGGTCGACAGGCATCGGATGTTGCCTCTGCTCATGGGCCGAAGAAGCATGTCGTGGCAACATCCCCCTCGACTCTCTGTCGAGCAACCAAAGCAGCTTCACAGCCATTTCGACGTCGGCCAGCGGTTGATTCAGAGACATTTCGGCCTCTCGACTCATCGCGAGCAGCATCTGCGCTGAGTGTCAACAAGCACAATTATGAGAACACGGGGCCACAGTCCACTCGTGAATCTCCAGGTGTGTTGGCATACAGTCGCAATTGTTGGGGCTCTTCTTCTCCTTCTTTGTAACCAGTCATTAACATATGTTGCGATTCTGCTAGAGCGCTTCGCTGAAATATACGACCTATTGAAAGACACGGTTACCGAGCGTTCCATCTGGGAGCAGGTTAAGAAGCACTCGGCCGGTCAATTCGAGTGGCTGATGACCCATCTGCCGTCTCCAGACTCGACCATCCACGACAGCTCCTCTGAAGAGTACGTTGACGATACGGTATACGCCTGCAGTCTAGTGTTGCAGAAGAAGCGAGCGCCTCATAGCGACAGCGAGTGCCCGCTCAATTCATATTATCTGTTGGCTACGCCGTTGCAGTACAGCGCCAATTGGACTGTGGAGATGCAGGAGCCTCGGATTATGGGCGAGGACGACGAATCTGTTACCTGGGTAGACGGAAGCCGTCCAGGAACGCCGCCAATGAAGATTCCGGAGATTGTATATGCTGTTGAGAACGCAGTATCGCCGACGTTTACGGCAGTGAGCGACAGAAGCTTTGGCGAGAGCTCATCAAGGACCACATCGTTCTCACTGCCACGAATTGAAGACTCTCTAGAGGAGCTAGACCGGCTGGAGGATGAGATAGAGGCGCTGAATGACTTGACAACCTCTCAACAGCTGCACTCTCAACAACTGGCGCTGCTAGAAAAACGGCAACAGCAGCAGCTAGCAAAAGCCGGCCCGCAACCAGCGGTAGACAAGGCAGCCAATGCCTCGAAAAGATCGGCCGTGGCGGGTACGCCGGCCACAGTTCGCGTCAAGCCTACAGAGAAAGTTAGTGCGCTGCCACGTCGGTCTATGTCGCTTGTGGTGCGGGAGAAGATCCCAGAAGAGCCAACCACCAAAGGATCTCTGAGCCGCCGGTCGGGTCTTGGCGTGTTCATGTCCAAAGCTGGTAGCACCCTAGCGACGGTCGCCAAGTCCACAATTGGATCATCAAAAACGCCTACGATCCCCAAGTTTGAGTTACCAGGTAAGGCTGTAGCTCGACGCTTGAAGGAAGTTCGTGACGCCCGCGAAGCACAGCAAGCCGCGGCTCACAAGGCATTAGAAGCTCCTCCAGCCAGGCCGAGAACTAGCAAGACTCTGCCCAGGCCCACCTTTGAGTTGCCCGGAGATACCATCTCCCGGCGGAAGAAGGAGGAAAGCGAGGCAAAGCTCAAGGTCCAAGAGGAAGAGCAGCGCAAGAAACGGGAATTCAAGGCACGGCCTGCAAAGCCAAGCTCTACGCCCAGCACGCTCCCCCGGGACACGGTGGCAAGTCGGGCTCGCCAAGCCAAAATTCAGGAAGAGACTGCAGAAAGACTGGCTGCCTCGTTGCATAAGGTCAAGCGGCTATCGCTGGGTCTTGTGCGTGACGAGCCGACAACACCCACGCTTATCAAGACGGAGAAGAAGCGCGGCGGGCGCAGCTCCATGATGGCGGCCGCTGAAGAGATCAATAGAACTGTTCTGGCATCGTTGAGCAGTTCATCTAAGAGTAAGAATCTGTTGTCCATAGGAGGCATGATGTCGCGGCTCAAACCCCGAAGCAAAGAGATCCAGGCACATGACACTGCAAGCATCAACGAGAGGAAGAGTTGTGACATGAGCGAAAGGCCAGTGACTGCTAAAGCAGCCCGCGATGAGGCAGCCGAGCGCTCTAGGAAGGCGAGCCGAGAGTGGGCAGAGAGAAAGCACCGTAAGGAGACATCACCTCAAAAGTAGGAATCGGGGCCGTAACTAGGCGAAGAAAGGATGGTATCATCACCAAAGCTTGAGCTTGAGAGGCGATACCCACGGCTTGTTCTGGTCGTTCTCGCCTCCACCATAAGCTGGTGTTTTTTTCTTTGTTTGTTTTTCTTTGTTGTCTTGCCTCAGATGCTCTACATTGTCTGAGCAGCACAAGAACTCAACAATTTTCCAACTAAAGAGAGAGAGGGAGCCTACACAAGGGGGCAGAGTGTATTGAGTATCGGGCACGGATCGGATTGTACAAATAGGGCATATTGGGCAAAGGAAAGAATTGGAGTTTTGGGCATCTGGATTTGACGTTGAGCACCCGCCAACGCTTTGGGATTCAAGGACTTTTACATCTTTTTTTGGGAGCGATCCCATAATTGTCGCCGTCGAGGCGCAATAATACTTACTGACTAGAGTCACAGTAACATACATTAGCTCTTACTACTTACTAACTGATATACTACATAGTGTAGTAGATTGATGGTAAAAAGTAGTAGGATGGAGAGGACGTGGCATTGAGAGATGCAGGGCTGACTATTTGGTGGCCGATCATTGGGCGGACATGTTGGAGCACGGTGGATGAGACTAAAGGGATCTGCTGGCCGGGCTTGAATGCATTGTTGGAACAATAGACTAGAATTAGTGCATACATGGCTATATCACTACGACAGAATTGCATGTATATTGTGTCGTCTGCCATTAAGGATAGATAGTCGTATAGATAGTAGCGCTAATCACATACAATATGACTATTACACAAAAACAAAAAAAATCATGTAACGACAGAGTAATCGACTATCTATCTAGTAAATGGGGAGGCAACTTGAGCAGCAATTCGGTCCGAGAGTGTAGAAAGGATTGATGAAAAAAAAAAGGCCAAGCGCCTGAAGCGGAAAAGGCAAATACAGACGGCGGTTTATTGGCTCGGCCGGTTTCTGGTATTCACTTAATTCACTTGTATTATTAAATTTTGAAGCTAGGGACGCGGGTTATCGTTGCAGTCATTCACTGGCCTCTCCATATTCTTTTTGAGCTAGCCCTGTTTATAATCCTTCCATTTTTTGCCTCTTTGCTCTTTTCAGTTTCCTCTTACAACTATTAAACACATCATCGACATCTTACAGAGCCTGAGCTTTTGTACCACTTCAGTAACTCAGCCGTTGTGTATCCGCCTAAAGACTTCCAACTAGCGCCTTAGGTGCAGTAGCTGGTAGCTGGGGAGCTTAAGACGTGGATCCTGTCAGCTGTCAGAAGCTTGGAGCTGGTCTAGCTTGGGGAAAGACTCATCTCAGTTTACAGCCTGTTTACCACCCATTTTATCTCGTCATCTTTTCATCTTTTTCTCTTTCAGGCAAAGACAATTTCGCCATACTGTTTATTGTTCAGTTGAATTTGATAAGCTCTCTAGGCTTTAATCAATAGGATATACCCCAAACGAAGAATAAAGGAACAGAGAGACGTACGTTAGACTCCAGCCTGACTCGCGTGCAGCTCTCTTGAAGGCATCGCCAACCTCCACTATCAACTTGCAGCCTCATACCCAGTCTCAGTCAACTGTTGAACGCTTATCCAGACCAAAACAGGCTCCCGCCATGTCCTCCTCGCCGACCGTCACGGTCAACGGCTGCACCGTCGTGGGCGCCTTCCAGCCCGCCTCGGCCAAGTACCCCCAGGCGCTGGACATCTTCCATGGCATCCCCTTTGCGAGCGCCCAGCGCTTCAGCCCCGCCGTCGCAATGCCGCTGGACGGTCAGGCTCCGGGTCTCGTCATTGACGCCTCGCGCCCTGCGCCCTCGCAGCCCTTCCCGATGGCGCCGCACGCAACGGCCGAGGACCCGCTGAGCCTCAACATTGTCCGGCCGTCCTTTTCGGCGTCGGCGTCGGCGTTTGTGGCGGCCGGTGATGGTGACGATGGCATTGGCGGCGATGATGGGGACGTTCTCACTGCTGCGATTGCGGCTGCTGGTGGTGCTGCGAGGCGAGACTTGCCGGTGGTGATTTACGTGCACGGCGGGGCCTTTAACTTTGGCTTCCCGGCGGAGAGGGATCTGGCGTCGTTTGTGGCCTGGGGCAGGAACCAGGTGCTGGTTGTGAGCATTTCGTATCGTCTGGGCGCGCTGGGCTTCTTGGCTGGGTCGACGGAGGCGACGCCAAAGGGCGTGAATCTGAATCTGGGGTTGAGGGATCAGCGGGTGGCGGTTGAGTGGGTGAGGCAGTGGATTGGCGAGTTTGGGGGGGATGTGGACGATATCACGCTCTGGGGATCGAGTGCCGGGGCGCATTCTGTGAGTTCTGATGCTGATGGTGATATCTGATGGTTGAATATCAATATTGACTGCTTCTTTAGGTCGGCCATCACATGCTCAATCCTTCTCCCCTTCCCTTCCGCAAAGCCATTCTCGAGTCTGGTTCTCCTACCGCGCGCTCTATCCTCTCACCTTCACATCCTCGCAGCGTTGCACAGCTGAATGAGCTCGGCATGTACGCCAACAACCAGCCGCTCGCTTCTCTCCCCATCGACGATCTCATCCAGTCTTCTTTTACCGTGTACGCCATGCACCACACAGCCGTGACCTGGCCCTTCCAGCCCGTCATTGATGGCCCTGGAGGCGCCGTCCCCGATCTGCCCCTGAATCTGTGGCGCGATCTTATCAGTTCGGGCCGCGCAAAGGAGTTATCCATCATCACAGGCTTTTGCTCTCACGAGGGCACTAGTTTTGCGCCCCAGCATGCTTCTACCAGCGCCGAGTTCCGCTCCTTCTTCCAGAAACTCATTCCTTCCTTTTCGGCGGACGATCTTGATGCGCTCGAGCTGCTCTACCCAGATCCCCTCATCGACCCAGATTCCCCGTATCGCCAACCTCCCGGTATAGGCGGTCCTCAGAAACGCCCCTATGGGGCTCAGTTCCGCCGCATTCATGAGGCATACGGCCACTATGCATACATCTGCCCCATACTACACACCGCACACACTCTATCCAGGGCCGGAGCCCGCGTCTACGTCTACGAATACGCCGCTCTGTCTTCCCCCTTCAAGGCAGCCTCTCACAGCGACCAGCCTCCCGCCGTGACGCACGATCTTAACGTTCTCGAGTTCACGCCAGGCCTCGTAGCCGTTGCCAAAGAAATGAACCATCGCTGGGTCTCCTTTTGCTCATCTCCGTCTGGTAAGTTGGACCCGAGGGATGAAGATGAACGGTGGCCCGAGTTTCAATCGCCCCTGGGGGATGACAGCGGCTCTTCTGCTGTCCCAGGAGCTGGAGCGGGCAAGCTTCTGGTTTTTGGAGAGGGCAATGACGAGGCTGCGGGAGGACGGAATCAAGGTACTCCTGTAAAGGCGAGGACGTTGACGGAGAGGGAGCTGGAGCAATGTCGCTTCTGGTGGGACCGCATGGAGTTGAGTCAGGGGATGGGAGAGCGAGGCGCAGCGACGGCTTGGCTGAGAGCGTGACATGATAGCGGGGAAATGATGAGGCACGAATGGGACATGGGTGATTTTTGGAGTTGAAAGGGGAAAATGTGAAAATAAAAGCATGTACGATAATTGTCTTTTTTTGCCGACGAGCTGGGAGTTTTATTTGGTAGTTTGTAAATTGCCTGGTGTTTTGTCGTAGATGATATAAACTATCTTCCGACATATAACGGAAGATACTTGTAGAGAAGCCAGTACCTATTAAGTAGAAATATAATGACTTGATGTAAAATTATGTTTTTGAAAAACATGAACGGGACGAAATATGCGTAGTTTCTAGCTGATATAATTGAGTAGTCAAATCTCGCTCTGGCAAAATAGAGCAAGCCAGGAAGAGGGACGGAGGCGTCCTATCATGTTACTCCTGAATACTTCTTTTTCGTCTATTTATATCTATCCAACCTAAGGAGAAGTGGAAAGAGAATTTTCACAACAACTTTGAAAGTTGATGATATGAAAAGTTTACAGTCCACAGAGAATAGTAGCATTTACACTAACTTTTCTTCATTATAAGCGGTCATACCTGCACAAAGAGAAGAATAAAGATGTTTTTTTACTTTTAGCGAGCATTAATAGCGTAGTAGAAGTTCTAAATGTTTTTTTTTTATAAATAGCATAAATACCTAGATAAATACGTAAAAGGGGAAGGAGAATGTGTTATTTTGGACAAAAAAGGGGCATTAATGACAATGACAAGACTGAAATGGTGAAAAAATCACAGCAGCAGTCGTAGCAGTAGGTAGTAGTGGTAGACAAATCGGGGGCTCGCTACGCAGATGCATATCGTATGTCTTATGTACAAAGTGCGTCTTCTTCTTTTTTTTGTGTTTTTGATCGTTTGCTTGTCTGTCATGACCAATACATGCGCCAGTCGTACCGAGTACTAAGCATGAAATAGCAATTGACTCAACTCCATCATCATTCAGCCATGACAGCAGTCACCCTTTCCTCCATCTTGTCGCAAAGACAAACGAACATCATAAGCAGGGCCTTCGTCTTCATCCTCCTGCTTTCTTCCCCTTCCTCCATGCTCTTGTCCAGATTAAATCATGTCTTTTTGCGCAATAAATGTAAACAAACTCAATCTCAAATGCCAATTACAACGGCAAGGGGGTGAAATATGCAGCTGTGCCGTGCTGTGCTGTGCTGTGCGGCGCAATAAACAAAGCGAGAGTGTGGATGTAATAGCGAGCGTAGATAAAAAAAAAGAAGAAGACCCAGATTTCATGGTATGCAAAGCATTATTAAACAAGGTGGTCGCAAAAAAACAGAATAACCTGAAACGCCTCTCATGGTCCTTTAGCATCTTCCAAAACCCCAGGATATCCTTGAAACACAACGGGCGTTAAAATGTAAAAAGAAATTCGTCCGAGTCTCACACTCCGCGCCAACTAGAAATTCTGGGAAATACCAGCGCTCTGCTGCGGGAAGTGGCCGGGATTTTCAACGCGCGCGCTGCGTCGTGCAGGATTATCGCGGATGATGGGCGGAGCGGGCATGTTGTCGCCAGGATTGCCATAGCCGGCCTCATACGGGCTGGAACCATACTGATCGTAATAGCCGCCGCCACCACCATAAGCCACGCCCACGGCCCCCTCGGAGCCGTCCGACCGCCCGGCACTGTATGAAGAAGACGCATTGGAGGCTCCTCGTCTAACGTCACCTCGGTTGTTTGCGGCTGCGGGACCCATGGCACCGAGAATCTCTCCCTCCTGGTTGTCAATCAGTGCGGCGTCAGACATGTTGTCACGAGGAGGCGAAACATCAGAGTATCCATGGTTGGTGGCGCCGGATATCGTGGTAGAAGCCTTGCGGCCCGTTGAGGTGCCAGCAAGAGTAGTCGATCCCCAGCCACGATATCCCACAGATTCCTCTTCCCTCATCTCATACGAGTCTCCACCAGACATACCAACAACCGGAATTGTAGGATCAGCATTGGGGTTGTAAGCATAGTCTTCGACTTCCTTGCGGCGCTCTGCCTCTGCCTGGCGACGCGCGCGAGTCTTTTTCCAGAAGAAGAGGCCAATCACTGCCAAAATAGCAATGGCAACAATGGGAACGACGACACCAATGGCTACCTTGGCCTTTGAATCAAGACCACCGCCGCTGTCCTTGCCAGCAACGCCATTCGGGGTTGCCGTGGAGGTGGAAGAGGTAGTTACGCCGGTTGGAGAGTCTGTAGGCGTCGTGGTTTGCGTGACGACGTTAATAACGGTAGAGCCGTTGGTGCCCGAGACAGAAACAGTGACATCACTAGATGACGGCGGAGTTGTAGTTGTTGATGACGAACTATCAGGAGTAGAGCTCGGTGGTGGCGTCGTTGAAGAAGGAGGCGGAGTGGTGGATGATTGCTCTGGCGTTGTGGTGGAAGAAGTCGAGGAATCCGGCGTTGAAGAGGGCGATGATGTGCTCGAAGGGGTTGACGACGGCGGCGGCTCGGTAGTCGAAGACGAGGACGGGGGAGGTGGCGCAGAAGTCGAGCTCTCTGGCGGAGGAGTAGACGACGGAGTCGAGCTCGGGGGATCAGACGGGGTTGATGATGGAGTCGGCGATGGAGTTGGCGAAGGCGTCGACGATGGTGGTGGTGTAGGTGGTGCGCTCGACGTTGGCGGTTGATCGGGAGGCGCCGTTGACTGCTCAGGGGGAGGCGCCGTGGAACTGTTTTGCGCGTTTTCCGCCGGTGGTGTGGACGAATCCTGTGGTGGATCGGTTGAGGCCATTGCGACGCCGACGAGATTGACCAGAGGTGTGAGTTGGCTGTGTTTATGTGTCATGTCAGCATGAGGCCGAGAATGCGTTTAAGCAGACCGCGAAGGTAGATTGAGCGACAAGTGCAGCGTAGAAGGCAAGTAGCAATCATCATCTTGAGCACCTGAAGGCAACAACGCCAACACAGATAAGCCAGCAAGACGAGGCCATGCACCGGCTCCAGGCCGAACGCATGCGCAGCGCACAAAGTCGGCGAGAACCCAATCACACGCCCAGGAAGAGAAGATCCAAAGACGTCGGGGAAGCACAACAGACGAGATCGTCGCAGCAACGACTCGGGCTGATAAGGGAGGCCAAAGGCAAGACAATAGAAGCCGCAAACGTACCTGTCTGGCTAGTCCAGCGTTCCCAGAGACGAATCCAATAAAAAAAAAACCCGGATTTAGGCGCGCGCGGAACGAAGCAATCAATTCAAACGGCGAAACAGATGCGAGAAGAAAGCAGCCGCCGTCTAGTAAAAAAGAAGAGAAAAAAGATGCTTGTCCCGAGATGGGTCTCTCTCACTCGCTGTCGGCTTCCGCCTCGTAAAACACAAGAGGGCGTCCAGTCCAATCCAGCCGCAGAGCTGGGATGCAGCGACTTTGTGACGGGCCGGCCAGGAAAAAAACAAAGCTAGATCGGCCTAGGCTCTTACAAGATTCGCACCCGTTGCAGCGAATGGAACCGCAAGCAGCGCGATTGTGGAGATTTGGGAGCCGCGGAGTGGAGGGGCGTGTCTTGCTTGTGTATTTGCCGTCGTGGGAGAGCAGAAAAGAGGAGATGGAGGATGGAAAGCTGCTGGAAGGCGCTTAGGAACTGCGCGCGAGAGAAAAGAGAGAGAAAAACGAGAATAGACACGAGCCAGCCAGGCTGGACAGGGAGCCGCTGCCAGGGGTGGGCAGCAAGAAAAAAGGATTTGATGACGAGAGAAGGCCGAGCCCAAGCCCCGATCAACTGCAGCAGCATAAACGCGTATAAGGCTTGCCGGCGCTTTACATGTCCGACGAGGGAAAAAGTCACCCTAACTACCTGAGTGCTAGTCTAGTGGAAGAAAAAATTCAATCGCTTTGGCTGGGCTTGCGCGGGTGAGAAACGCCCAAAAGACGAGGCCAAGAGAAGCTACAGGCGACGATACGAAAGGAAACGCCGAGCTGTAAAGTTCTGACGCACCCGAGAGAGAAGAGAAAAACCGGACGATATGGGGGGTTTATTCTGGCTTAGCGCCGCTCGTACTGCAGTCTCGGCCAATTTTTTTTTTGTCTCTTGCATTGTGCTTTCTTTTGCTCCTCTTGACGGGCTGTCAATGTTTTTGACATGTTTCCTCTCTTGCTCGACATCGTTGCAGAGACTAGATGTTGTAGGTTTTTCACATGTAAACTCTCAACATGTTGTTTTCGCTTTGCCGGTAATCTAGGTTGTGCTAAGGTTTTTTGCCTCCCCGAAAGCTTATATATGCAAAGCTTCTCTCCCCCCCAAATGGAAAAACCACAGCAGCAGCGCAAACCCCATCAACTTCAATTGTCCAAGTGCAGCCAGTGGCTGAAGCTGCTAGCAGATCATGCCAAAAGCCACCACTTCTCTAGCAGCTCCCCGACAAAGAGAAAAATGCGCCGGTTCCAAGCCGGAGAAACTGGGCCCAACCCTTGCGAACTCAAGTAGCGCTGAAGTTGAGGCGGATGGGGCTGTTGAATTCAAGTTGGCACCCGGGTGATTGACCAGACCGGCTCATTTTTTATCTTTCCTTTCCTTTGTCTCGCAGTTGGCTGAAGCTCAGAAGATGATGACTTGGATTACTTAGCACCTGATAGGCGAGATTACGGAGCTGGGTAACCGCTAGAAAGATACTCAGCGTCAGCCGCGGCCGGTACCTGTGAGAGGCCGCCGCTCCGTTTAGCACTGCCTGTTTGCACATGGTGAATCCTTTTCAGGCAAAGTCACCTGTTTATATTTTCTCAGCCCGTATATACGAGTCTTTGGCCCCTTATCGCATCGCCTTGCTGTAAAAAGAAAAGACGTCCATTGCTATTTTCCCACTGTACTTTTTATTTTTATTTTTCGCCTCCCGGGAGAATCACTTAGTTTCCCAGCGAATCATCTTCAGATCTTGGGTCGCATCGTTGCTTGTAAGTGCTGCGCAGCGCTCGCACACACGACGTTTGCAAATCATTTCAGAAAAACCAACCCCCTGGTAAATTCCCCGTTATTATTTACGGAGCGCGCATGTTCATATGATGCGAATCTTGCGTATCCATTACGCACGGGCTTGGCTGTCTCACAACAATCATATTACAAGTAAGTAGAATAAAAAGGAAAACTTCGTTTCGTCCCAGTGGGATATAAGCAGTACTAGCCTTACCTCGCATGCATCTTATCATTGCAATCAACCATCAAGCCATCACTACGGATGTATTAGCGCCAGGTGACTACAACCCGCCGGCAAGGGAACAAAAAGGCAAAAAAAGCGACGGAAATGAAATTTGCACTGCCCGTCTCACCCACCCGTCACTGCCACAACACACGGATCCGTGGGGGGTGTGGATTACTAACATCGAGCCTAGACACTGTTATTATTAGCGCCCCTTGCATGGCCATATTCAGCCTGGCTCAATTTGACGTACCTTTGTAGTGCGCATGTCTGCTTCCGCAGCTGGAGCGAGACATCATTGACACCGCAGTGCCAGTATTAGTCGTAGTGATGGAATGAGTGATGATGATCGCCTTTTCTATACTAAGCCACGAGATCGGGAAGAGTCGCCACGAGATCCCTTTGCTACTATTATTGTAGTTACTGATCAAGGAACCAAGGCATCATAGCAGTTTAGCGCTGCCGTCAAGCCCGTTGCTCCACAATAACGGCCGTCAAAGCATCCGACAGGAAACAAAACAGAGGTAGTACATGAGAGTAAACAGCACGTGATGTTACTCAACTTCATCTCCCATCAAACGGCCTTCTCAGCACAATAAGCTCACAAGACAGACAGCAAGCAGAGAAAAGACACAAATTGACCAAATCTTGTTATATTGCAAAAATAAAACTAATCATATATCATGACAATCTTGTCTGAAAAAAATATCGGGGGGAAGAAGAATATAATAACACGGGTGAGTGCATCTGATTGACCTATATTGCCTATGTACAGTTGTTGTTCCTTCAGATGCCCAAACAAGAGGAGGCACGAAGTCGTCGTCGTCACCTGAGATATAATATTTCATGTGTTTCGGTTCGGGAGGTTGTTGTTTAGGTTCCAGTGTCCATCTATATGCAAACATCGCAGCAACACAAAAAAAATTGGAAAAAAAAGGCCCAACATATAAGATATAAAAACTTTCGAAAAGAGAGCTCCGTCGTGAAAAATCCCCTAATTACTCCTTTGTTTGTGAAGGGAACAAAATATAAAACGCAAACCTCCCTGAGGAGAAGCCGCTTTCGAATGCCGCTGTTTGGTGGCAAGATCATGCAAAATGCCGTAAGCAAGAAATGACGACGCTGATACTAAAGAAATGCTAATCTTCATCGAGATTCAGCTTAGAACCTTCACCTTCTTCTGCTCCCATCTAACCTCGCAGCGTCCATGAGGGCTTCAGCTGGTCGTCCATGGCAGCTGTCGTGAAAACTGTGTCACCTGGAAGGCGACTGATGCGGCCTGCTCCACTGCGGATGGCATTGAGCTGCGTCTGAGAGATGCCGCTATTGTTACTCCTGATGCTGCCTGCGTCGCTGGCAACTTCGGGATCTCTAAACTTCTTGGGAGGGGCGAAATCCAGGCCGGTGAAGGTGCTGGATTTTCGGAGCAAGTGTCTATTAAAGACGTGTTAGCAATCGTTTCCCGTTTTTTATCAATACGATCAACGGTACTTACGGGCTGGGTAAAGGTGTTAGATCTTCAAAGGCAGACGCCAGCGGTGTAGATGCAGTTGGTGGCTGCAGGAAGGGCTTTCTCTCGCCAAAGGGGCTCTCGCTGCGGCCGGCAACCTTATCCCTGATGCTTGACGGGGGAGCAAAATCAGCGGCGTTGAAGATGGCGAAAGAATCGTCACCGAGCTTTCCTGGCGTTGGCAGCGAGGCTAAAGCAGCCGGAGGAGGCAAGTTCTTCTTGGGCTGGTTTTGGCGAGCCCATGCACCAGATGCGGAGGAATCCGGTCTAGGACCAAAGGCCGATCCAGCGCGAGAACCAAAGGCCGATCCGGCGCGAGGGCGTCCGCCAGGGCCGGGAGAGAAGGTTCCGCCATTTCCATTAGCACCGCGGAAGCGCGGGCCGGGGCCACGCGAGCCGCCCCTCGGAGCACCTTGACGGTTGCTGGGAGGTGGAGTCATGGCACGACGGGTAACGGGCTGGGCATAAGGCATAACAAAGGCGTTGGTGTCGGCGTCATAGTAAGCAGCTGCCTCTAGGTAACCTTGATCATAGTCTTCATAGTAATCGGGACCGCCCTGTCTCTGAGGCTTAGGCTGCTGCTGCTGTTGCTGTTGCTGTTGCAGGTGCTGGGGCGGTTGGGGCATAGGAGGGGGCGCTTCGCTTGAATCATCAAAGTACTCCTTGTAGAAAGATCGAATACGGTTTGCGCGGATTTCAGGGTCGTCAGATTCCATGGCTTCGCTAGGAGGCAGAGGCCTGAATCCCACAGAGAGTCGCTTGTTGCCGTTGTTTTGAGGAACGCCGAGACCACCGCCCTGCTGAGGCTCAGGAAGTCGAGATAGAGGTCGGCCACGGGGTTGCTCTTCCTCATGTGCGTGGGCATCCTGGTGAGTGGGTTGTCCGGGAGAGAGAATCTGGGGAATGTCAGCGGGGCTGACGTGTGAGGCACGACCATTATCGGTATAAGCAGATGAACGCGCCGAGCTCGGTTCCATGTTGGGGCTTCGGGAGCCGTCGAGCTTCAGGGCAGCGGGAGCAGGGGCCGGGATATCGGGCACTTCGAATTCGTCGGCGTTGAAGACGTCGACAACAGTTTCGATTTCTGGAACAATTGG